CACGTATCCATGGGAATTGGTTGTGTAAATTGTTTACAAATACCGCGGGATTTTTACATCAAAAAACTGGGAGACAAATGCCTGGCGTTCACCACCAAAACAAACCAAACATAAAATACCCTCTGGTAAACTAACATAACTATTGAAAATTGCCATTTATAGTGAGTTTTCCCATCAAAAATGGTGATTTTCCATAGTTTTTTGTATGTTTACCAGAGGGTAAGTCAAACATCCTCAGACACATCAAGGGTGAAGAAATGTGAAGGGAGAAATCTACAAGAATTCAGCTGCTTGGAAATCCACTTCCATAGTAGGTGTAAACCAAATTTTGCCAGCTGAAAATGAGGGGTACGACATGGGATACCTACAAAATCCTATCAAAAATCATTAAACATCTATAAAACACGCATCTTTATATATATAATATATATATATATTTATGTTATGTTTTATGGGGAATATACATATATATGTATATATATATATTAATTTTATGTTTTATGGGGAACACATGTCATCACATGTCCTAAAATCAATCTAACTCGTCTAAGTCATGGATTTGGGATGCTGGCGGTATCCGGAATCAAGGCCTTCACCTGACCTGAGATACCTGAGTGCCCGACCCGCCAGGCTTCGCTCCTTTTATGGTCCCCGACCGTCGGCCTGGTTTCCAGTCTACATATAAAATCATACAAAGACCCATGAGGAAACTCCATGACAATCCTGAGGAAAATTCATGAAAATCCTGGATCTCTCAAAATTTCAACGCCTGAAAAAACACCTGTTAACACCTTTTGCCATCTCCTGCCTATGTTTCTTAAGATGTTTCTTGCGCGTGAAACAGCATCAAACGTGTTCTGCATTCGGTTTGGCAGAGTTTCGTTTCCGCTTTCCGAGTCTGGGGCCTGCCATCAGATCACCGTCCTCCTCCGGCCCTTGGTTACAGAGCAATTGGCTTCATGGAAGCTGCATGAAGCTGCGATCCCTCATTCAGAGTGATGCACATGGTCCGGTTCTGTGATAAAGGTTCATGGTTGGAACTTGGAACCATCATGAACCATCAATGCCACAGCTGAACGTGATCCGACCATCTTAAAGGATCTGATTCCCGAGCTCATCGTTGATGATTTCTTTGCTCAGTTGTTTGACCTATACCCTCCTATTCAGAGCTAAATGGGTCAGACGTTGTTGGGTGAAGGTCGCTCAAGACTCTGGTCAAAAAACATATAGGCCGTGTGGTGCTCGTTGGACTATCCAACAACCTCCTTTTTTGGTGCATCAAATTTGATCCATCTGCAACTCGCTTAAATGTTCAATGGATTGCCATGGATTGCCCTTGCCGTTGTCCCTGCTGAAGCCAAGTAACAAACCTTGAACACCTTACGCCATGGCACAGCACACGGCAACGCCAGCATCGCCCCCAAAAGAGAGATGCTTTGAGAGCGGACACGTTGCGGCAGGTGACTCAACTGGCTGAAGCAACGGCAGGTGGGTCCTGATTCTCACTGGGTGATAGTCCTGTCAATGCTGGGTGTAATGTCAAATGTCAACAACTATAGCAAGTATGTTGTATATCTACAAAGGTTACAAAGGAACACAAACACACACACACACAGAAGTGTTGTCCAGGACTGTCCAGATCTCATTGACCTATCTCTGAACGGTGAAGGTATTGGAAGTCTTGTTGGTTGGGCGTGTCTTGCATGTCTTGAGACATGTTGCGGACCCAGCCTGCAGTTGATGCTCTTGGGCTTGAGTGCGGCCCACCACATAGTCGAAAGCGACCTGAACAGTGGGGCCATGCGGAGCCATGCGGAGCCATGGTTGCCAGCGGTTCTGCAGGACGCTCTTATCACAATGTCATCAGATATCTATTGTTTCCGCAATGGTGTTGAAGGTAGTCACATGACCTCTGATGAAAGTAGCAAAATATTTGGGGAAAGCTAGCCTAGTTGGCTGGCGGCTTGTAGAACGCCGCCAGCTGTGCTTTCGTGCCTGTGGGGTGGAGTGGGGTGGGGTGGGGTGGGTAATAACGTCTTGTTCAAAGTGCTCCTAACACGCTCTTGCTGCTACGCTCTTCACTTCTTGTGGGGTGGGGTGGGGTGGGTAATAATAATATATAATAACGTCTTGTTCACACTGCTTCTAACACTATGCTCTTCACTTCTTCAAGTACCTTCCAGCACGCTCTTGATACTAGGTTCTTCACTTCTTCACGTACCTTCCAACACGCTCTTGTTGCTACGCTCTTCACTTCTTCAAGTACCTTCCAACAGGCTCTTGATGCTACGCTCTTCACTTCTTCACGTACCTTCCAACAAGCTCTTGATGCTATGCTTTTCACTGCTTTTCACTTCTGCACGTCCCGTCTAACACGCCTTGGATTTTACCGATTATTCAAATTTGACTCAAGTCCTGAAACGCATGTGAAACAAGGACTTGGAAGTCTGACACAAAGAAATTCAAAAAAAAGTAGTTTGTCGCAGGATTTAACAGAGTCGAAAAAAAGGACCCAGACAAAAATTCTTGAGAAAACACACGGAAAATGAACTCGCCCCGGTTGGAAAAACAGGCGGCGTTCGCCGCTTACCATGTAGTTCATGGTCGCAGCAGCTTCGGGTTTGATCCCCAGCACTTCGGCAATGGCCAAAACGAATTGAGGTGCAGTCTCAGCAGTCGTATAATCATCACAATGTGTGTCATGAGTATGTCAGGATTCGTCATTACTATAGACAATTGGGAATGAGATATCCATAGTATATGAATATACGCTATATAATCACATACAATCGTTAATATCAGTACAATATCTACTGGACAAATACTGGACAATAGATGCTCATCACTAGTATACATATATAATATTAGAAAAACTCCCAAAACATCTTGTTCAATTCAATGGTTGTATGAATGCAACTGTAGCTGCCAAGCATGAATACCATATATGTATTATATATTATATATATATAAACACCACATACATCTAGTCATATAGGTGCATTTAGACCTTTCGCGAAGCTTTCGAAAACTGGGGATCCCAACATCAACGGGGACCTGCACCACAATGCTTGCTTGGAAGTTCGCATTCTCCTCCCACTTCTCATCCTGCACTTGTGATGTCCAATGTGATGTCGGAGATTGTGGCTGAGCGCTATCAGAAAATCTGGTAGCGCTGAATCGAGTGCTACAAATATACAGGATGTATGAGCAGAAGCATCCAAACATGGATCAAAAAGGCCAGTAACAAGCTGATTTCATGGCCAACAAATACAAAAAAACACTGATTCTCTCACAAATTTTGACCCACACCCAGAAACTCTATAACTGCGCAGTCTTTGCGGATTCTTACCCAGCCAATGTCCAATGTTTCCCGACCTCAATCTGTCCATTGTAAACCTCAAGATCGTCAAGATGTGTCAAGGATGGAGGTGATCTTAATTCCCCTGGTAGACCAACAGAGCTAGGTAACTCCATTTTTTTCCCTAGGACACGATCTGTAAATGGTGTATTTCCAAAAAAGTCCGCTGTTCATTTACTGGAAAGGTACCCATACCAATGCCCTACAAGAAACAAAGGGGATGTTAACGTTGGAAGCTAAGGGAGAAGGGGGAAACCGGGAAACCATAATGACTCCCAAAAAAAGGACTCCCATAATACCCATCATCATTAGACTCCCAAAGAAATGAATCAAACATGCCCATCCATGTGGCGGCCAAGCCGTTTTTCTGGTTTCCAAACATGGTGACCACCGACATTTTGGAGCTACCAGGAGGTACCAGGAGGTACCAGGAGGTACCATTGGGATGATCAACAGTGGTTTGGTTACAGGAAAACAACATAAAACAACTAGATCCTCAAAAAAAAGCATCACTTTCCCAATTCCCAAACCACTGGAGGTTCAATCTAGCACTTTCCAACAGACCCGTTGTGACCGTCCAAGCAGCGTAAGAAAGCTCTGGAGGGCGGTCGGTTCGCACGCCTTGAGGCCCTTCCTTCAGTGCGTCCTACAGGGTATGGGTAGCCGTTCAGGCCCTGGTAAACGTAGCATCAGCTGAAAAATATATGTTCATCCCCCAAATATGGAATGGCAAGTTTCAAGCCATGTCCATATATATATATATTGTATATTGTATATACATTTGTATCTTATATAACTTTTAATGTGTATATGTATATATATATATAATATTATAAACAGCTATGTTTGCAAGAAATTTGTTCATTAGCAGGGTTGTCAATTGTGGGACTCCCCTCGCAACCAGTAACTAAACCATTCAACTGATCTTACATATTCTTACTCCTGGTATATGCAACTCTCCCATTCTCTCCAACCGTCGACCCTTAAAACGTTGTGGGACACATGGCTGCCATGGTCAAAACAATTCGAAACGCATAATGGCGATACAAAGCATGACCATCATGGGATATACCCTCTGGTAATTTAACATAGCTATTGAAAATGGCCATTTATAGTGGATTTTCCCATTAAAAATGGTGATTTTCCATAGTTATGTTAGTTTACCAGAGGGTAATCTGGATGGTGGTATAATGTGGTATACCTACCCCTCTGAAAAATCATGGAGTTCGTCAGTTGGGATGATGACATTCCCCATATATGGAAAAACAATCAAAGTGTCCCAAACCACCAACCAGTAATATGATTATCCCATTAATAGGATATGGTGATCACTATACCCATTAATCGATGATATATTATGATATATTCCCCATACCATCATCTATGACCATAATTGGTATATCGATGGAGTGATGACCATCTTCTTGTATGGGAAATATACCCACTGGTCTCATCAAACATGGCAAGCTGTGAACATCCACCCATTTGTTCGATGGCTTTTCCATGACAACCTCCGTTTATAGGGGATTTTCCAGCTAGCCATGCTTGATGCCACCGGAGGCTAAACCATGTTTTGACCCTGGCACACACGGTCAAACACGCCAGTTTTTGAACAGCTGCAGCGTTCTTCGTCTTCCGCGGCCTAGCGCCACTTTCCGCCTCCCCTTGGTCGCCAGAAGCCGCGTCAGACGGAAGCGCGTCTTGACCAAGCCATGTCTTTTCGTGGATTGGTGTGTCCAAAAATGGTGGATATCCATGGATACCCCAATTTATTGCAATCTTACTGTGGAAGATGTTCTGGTATGGAAGATGGAATCGGGATGGAATTGGGATGTTCCATACTTTTCAAGCCACTGGCTGATCATGATTTTTGTCATCCGCAAAAACAGCGAAATTCATGGTATCATGGTGCTTCGATCACCTGAAATGTATTGAAATGTCAAGTCTGCATTTTCACTCTCACTGATTCTCTCTGCACTCAATGCTGCCAGGCAGCTTTTTGCCGCCTTTGCCACCCTTTCGCTGCCCTTTTCCTTTGCCTGGTCCGTGCTGAGTGGGGAAGCATTTTACGGATCATTATTAACATGTCAATTCTTACTGGCAAACTGACCAGGTAATCATGTAAAATTAATGAACACGAGTTTCAAAGTTCCCTGTTGGTTGGTGGTTGGTATTTGACATATTGGTTTGATTATAAAGTCCGATTAAAAACCATTAAAAACCATTCAACACCCATTCAACCAGGGCTGGTTTCGCTACTAACCCAAGTGGAGAGTGCCGCCACGCCTCCCTTGGAGCCTCCCTTGCGACTCTGACCGCCATAGCCGCCACCTCGGTTCCAGTGACTGACTGGATGTTTCACGATGGATTTTTGGGCATGTGTGCAAGTAGGGCATACCCCCAAAATGGGTCTAGGTAGACAGAACATCCCCTAGAGTATCATTGTTTGGTTGCTCTTCCTCCTGCAGATCGTCCAAGTGTACATTCCATATATTCCGGCATATGGGGTTCACTGTGAAATTGGCAGTAAGTTTGCTGATTCATGCTGGTCAAACTATTCCAACGGAAAAAAAAAAACTTCACGGTAGTCACACCAATTGCAAAAGTTAGCCCAAGCGAACAGTGTTTAAAAACACGGAGAAAAATCCCTCACACTGTCTCGGTTTAAAATCACGATGAATCCCCTTCAAAAGTGATCATTATCCCACTATTGTCCCATGATCTCATTGGATTCATATTGATATACATTGCTGGTTGGTGGTATACCTACCCCTCTGAAAAATGATGGAGTTCGACAATTGGGATTCGGGATGACATTCCCAATTTATGGAAAAAGAAAAGCCATGTTCCAAACCAGCAATCAGCATTGATATTACCAAATTACTATCCCATGATTATCGAAGGAAGTTTAGAAGTGAAACTTCCGACAATATGGACAGTTGAAAAGCAGAGGTGAGAAGAGTCAGAAGACAAAAGATCAGAAGAAGATGCAGATGCGCGAAAAGATAGGAAAGTCACGAAACACTGTGTTTTTCCAATGATTTGGGGCTCCGGAGGGTCGAAAAGTAGGCTCGCTAAAGCGGCGGGTGCGGAGCCAGCTGGCCAGATGAGACATGAAAAAGTGCACGCCGTTGTGGCGCGAAGCGCATTTCCAAGTCAAAATAAACAAGACACTAGAGGATCGGACCACTTTTGGAAGTTGAGATGTCGAAAAAGTGCACGCCGTTGTGGCGTGAAGCACATTTGGAAGTCAAAATGTACAAAACACACCATGGTCGGACCACTTTTGGAAGTTGAGATGTCGAAAAAGTGCACGCCGTTGTGGCGCGAAGTACATTTCCAAGTCAAAATGTACAAAACACACCATTGTCGGATCACTTTTGGAAGTTGCGATGTCGAAAAAAGTGCACGCCGTTGTGGTGCGAAGCACATTTCCAAGTCAAAATGTACAAAACACACCAGGTCCGGACCACTTTTGGAAGTTGCGATGTCGAAAAAGTGCACGCCGTTGTGGCGCGAAGCACATTTCCAAGTCAAAATGTACAAAGCACACCATCTCGGACCACTTTTGGAAGTTCAGATGTCGAAAAAGTGCACGCCGTTGTGGCGCGAAGCACATTTCAAGTCAAAATGTTAAAAACCTGGGGTTCGGACCACTTTTGGAGGTTCAGATGTCGAAAAGTGTCGAAAAAGTGCACGCCGTTGTGGCGCGAAGCACATTTCGAAGTCAAAAGTGTAAAAAACTGAGTGTTTTGAGCCTTTTTTGACGTGCTGATGTCGAAAAAGTAGACACTGATTAACTTAACTAACTTGACTAACTTAAGTAACTTCACTAACACGAATACCCTAACTTCGACGACAACAGCACCAGCAACAGCAAAGCGACAACAACAACAACCAACACAACAAACAAACAACAGCAAACAACAAACAACAGCAACAACAACAACAACATCTACTATACACAAACACTCAAATAAACTACAAATACAACTCCCAACTACAACTACAACTACACAACAACTACAACAAGAACTACAACTACAACAACTACAGCTACAACAACAACAACAACAGCAACAGCTACAACTACAACTACAACTACAACAGCAACAACTACAACAACAACAACAACAAGAACAACAACTACAACAACTACAGCTACAACAACAACAACAACAACAACAACAACAACAACAACAACAACAACAGCAACAGCAACAGCAACAACTACAACTACAACTACAACAGCAACAGCAACAACAACAACAAGAACAACAAGAACAACAACAACTACTACTACTACTACTACACTACACAACAACTACAACCACACAACAACTACAACTACAACAACTACACCTACAACTACAAAACAACTACAGCTACAACCATATGACTGCAACTACACTACACTAATTACATTACACCACAACTACAACTCCACTACGCTACAACTACAACTACAGTTGCAGTGCATCACACTACATCCAGCAGTTGTGGGTGAGGTGACCACTGCAACCATTGCAACCATTCCAGCAAACACAACTCCAACCACCTTTCGGTCAATCAGTGGCTTCGCTCTGCCATCCCTGGTTCACAACAACCAGCTTCTCCTATAGGTTTCCTATTTTTGAAACTTCCGCCACCGCCTTGTGCGGTACTACTGGTATGATATTATATGTCTCATCTCCCCGCCAAGAAAAAACACGAAATCCGGTCTCCGCTTGAGGATCGGACCCCAGCTCTGCCCCCAACCTGCGTTCTCTCTTGACAGAAGCCATGGGGGTTACAGTTGAGGTGATTTTTATGGCTATAATCATGGCATTTTAACCCTAAGTTGGGATAAAGGGCCCTGCAAAAAATATGGTTATGAATTTATAGATATATGATATATATATATATATGTTATGTTTGAACTGATACAAATAATCTATTTATGTATATCCACGTGCAACTGATCAACTGGAACTCTGCACCCCGAAATGACGATTGGATTGGTTGGATTCCTGTCGCCTATCTTTCGCCTATCTTTCGGCAATTTCTGTCATGGCTGAGCTGGTAAAAAACAAAAACCTGTATGCGAATCATCACAATCACAAGGCACCTGTAATATTGGATCAATGGCGATTTTAGGGGATACCCTCTGGTAATTTGTTACATAGCTATTGAACATGGCCATTAAAATAGTGGATTTACCCAGCTAGAAAATGGTGATTTTCCAGTTCGCTATGTAAACGTTTACCAGAGGGTAGGGGATCAATGATGATCAATGATCAGCTAGTGAGCTAGTGAAACACGAAATCGCTGGAGACCTGGAAATCTATATAAACGCTGGATGCCCAATGTTCAGCGGTCTCATCTATGTCAGACAGCAATATGAACATGTAAAAACATATAAAAACATAATATCTGTGTAGATATTTTGAATCAAATGGATATGCTGGCAGCCTATGAAATCTTATAAACCGTATCTCACATGGGAACTCTTTACATAGGAACAATAAAAAATCAACCAAGCGCAGCTTCAGTTCCTCATGGTTCCCTGATTTGGTGTTACAATTCGGGATTGACACATCGATATTGCCTGTTACTTCCAGTTGAAATATATCCATATCCCATAGGATCCATGTATGGTATATATGCTAACATTTACCATCAATATACCCCAAATGTTAGCATATATACCATACATGGATCCTATGGGATATATTCTTCTTTCTCTTCCGTGCCATAGGTATGGTTTGTGAAAACTGATGTGAAACTGACTGAGAAAAGCAGGTGCCATATATCCATATATATATATATTATATCCTACTTTATTCCTGATTGAAATGCGACCCCCCGTTGGTTTCTTGGCCAAGAAAAAGGGGGCTCCAAACGCAGAAACCTTCGACTTTAGCTACCAATGAGGTATTTTTTGTGCCCAACAAGATCAACAAGATCGAACATCAACCGTCCTCATCATGAAGTGGCTCGTATATTACGTATATCTAATTAGATCTAATTAGTATGGATTGGTATGGATTAATCACCAAGTTTGGATATTTTAGGGATGTTTAGGATCAACATGTCTCCCTTTTTTTGGGAGGTTCCCTTTTTTTGGGGGGGGAAAGCCGAAAAATCTGGACATTGTTGTTCCCCTCTGGTAATTTAGTATAGCAGTGGAAAATTGCACCATTTACTTCCATGATCTACCTCTCAACAATTAGAATTTTCGATAGCTAAACTGTTTCTTTAAGGGTAGGTCTCCCAACCCCTGGAGCCTTCGCTCCAACCTTCACCCCAGGAGTTATCGTCCCATTCCTCGCCCCAATCATCGCCTGATGCGAGGTGAAGATCATCGAAGTACTGGAAACGAAATACAGTAATCATACCCCCTGGTAATTTAACGTAGCTATTGAAAATTGCCATTTATAGTGGATTTTCCCATTAAAAATGATGATTTTCCATAGTTATGTTAGTTTACCAGAGGGTAATTAGACATGTTGGAAACCAATCATAAACCACCAATATGGATTGATGGTTGATACCACCCACTTATGGTAAAATTAAGGGATCCTGTTGCTATACGAACATGAAAATTATCTTGATGATATGATGTCATGCTGATATGTTCATAGAATTGAAATTAAATCAACATGATTCAACGATATGTTGTTTAAGTGAAATTTATCGATAGAAGTGCCGGGCAGCTTCTTGTGGAATCGGATGTCTTTGGGTTCATGTTCATGGTGCAACCAGTGATCACGCTGGTAGAGCTATCCCACTTACCTCGCAAAGATACAGCATCAACAAGCGAAATCCGTGGGCTTCCCTCGGATATGATCTACAAATGGTGGCTTTCCATGCTTGCGGTCATGCTTGCGGTCATGCTTGTGGATGAGGGCCACACCAGCACCGTCTGCCAAGAGCTTCGCAGCCTGAAAAATGGCGTTCCGAAGACGACTGGGAAATCTTAGAGCCTATCCACAGCAATACATCATCTATATGGGTATGTCTGAAAATGGGGTATACCCCCAATGAAATAGCCATTTAGTAGGATAATGATCATTAACCATTGGGTGTAGGGGTACACTATTTTCAGACAAACCCATATATATCATATATTCATCTATGGACCAACCATGTACAGATGATAAATATCCATTAAACTAAAACCAGACCCTGCCCAACCACTAACATGCAGAATCTTGGTCCCTGGCCTCAGGCAGCTCGCCGTTCTTGGTGGGTTTGATGAAGGCGGCCAGGGAAGACGTTGCCTTCGTTGGAAGCTCTTCACAAACTTTGAAGACTTTGGAGCATAGGAACACTTCAAAACAGAGTGGCGAGATTGGGATTCCTGATGATAGACCTGAGTGTTGGAGTTTGAATGTCTACGAGTCTACGAGCATGAAACTGTGGATGTCCATTTTTGTTCCATGTTCACAATCAAAATTCTCATCAGTTCCTGATGTGATCTTATATTCCACAAGTAACACCTGGGTCACCTGAAATCATGAGAGTTTCAACTTGAACAAACGGGTTCCTGTGTTCATGTAACATGCTTATAACATGCATATCATCTCGAAGATAGTGGTTACACGTTTTACCACCCGCTAATTGGATGACTCTATGGTCACCAACGAGTCACAGAAGGGAAAGAACTTAGCGGCTTAGCGATGATCCACTGTAAGAACCCCCAAAAAAAACAATAGAACAGTAGAATCCTACTAAAATAGTGAAATAGTGGCTTGTTTTTGGGGCAAAAATAGTGGATCCACTGTAGAATCCTACTAAAATAGTGACAAATTACTCTTCGGCATCGTTTTTCTTGGTGGCTTGTCTAAAGCATACCCAAACCTCTTCCCTCACTGGCCTGAGTGGGAGCTCGCTTCTCTTCATCATCACGGTCATTTCGACCTGCGGCGTCAGGTACCATGGAGTACCAATGGACAAATGGCTGTGTTCAATGCTGTTCATATGGCCATGGCTCAATATAAACACCATTTTTAGGAGGATGAACATCCATAAATCCCAGCTATGTTGATGTGAACAGAAGGGGTTTTCATAGGTTTTGACCCATCCCCATATCTCTTCATGCAATAAAAAAGATATCATGTGAGTATTCAAGTATCCATGATTATCCATGTGTTCCGGGGGTGAAAATTTTTGACCTAGATCCACATCCGATAAACTGTCCAAACTGTCCAACAAACTGCCGAGACCCAAGGATGATCAATGCTAAACCAAGTGACAGGGAGCGTGATAAAAACCTCATAAAACAGAAATTGAAGTCCGGTTTGGGTGTTGACAGTATTTCTGGTTTTCCAACCCTATACAGGATTCAAATCATCCCAATTTCGTGATGATACCTTCGCTCCATTGAGAGGATTCATCTCCCAAATTCAGTGAATCATGCCAAGCAATGACCCAATTCAGATTTGGATTTGGCATAAATATCAGAGTATATCCCAGTACAATGTCTGTTTCTTTATACCGCAATTCTTGGCTCAACATAACGTTTACCATCTCAAAACTCCCATCAAAATTGGTCGCAGTCCGTCAGCCGCCTCTTCCCCAGGAGGCAGCGGGTTGGGAGTCGCCTTTGCCTTTCTTTCCTTTTCCTCAGGACATGGTGGAACCAATTTAACCAATGGGATCCAATGGAAGGTCCAGAATCGTCCCCTTTTTTTGGATCAAAAAAAACATCGTCAAGTAATGCTTGTACCCGGCACTAACAATGAGTTTTTCTGTGTTTTTTTTCCATACTGTCCTGTGGTCCTGTGAAAAATGAGACATGCGTGAAACAAAAGGTAAACTATGAGATCTAACGCAGACATGAAGACGGACCTTTGAAATCAACACCTATGGAATTGTTTTTTCCCACATATTTTGATTGCCCTGCATCTATAGATCATCTTGTTATGAATAAGTTCTTCAAATTAAGGGTCAATCTCCATGTTTGTCCTAGTCGAGCCGTCCAAAAATTTGCAGCTGATCTATGCCACAGGGATTCCACGTTTCTGTCAACAGCACCACCCCTGTTGATTATTTGTAGATTCAAACCGCAAAATTGGGGATGACTCACTCTTCCAAACATGTCACCAGCAACTTTGACATTGACAACCTAAGAATACCTAAGGTACATGTCCACATCTATTGGTCCATTTATGTCCTGCTGTGTGTTCAAGCCGCGCCAACAAGCAACTTTAGGCTAGCCCAGTTTTTGCCAACAAACACTTGCTAGCTTTATTTAAGCCTCCAACATCATCTAACCCGAATTCCCCCAGGGTTTGGTATCTGGTATCAGCTTCCCAGCCTTCACCCTTGCCCTTCTGGCTCTGGTCTTGAGCAAACGCAGTGCTAGAGACCTGCCAGCTGCAACAGTGGTACCCGTTGAAGCAGTTGCTGCGTCATCAACGAAGGGTATAGATAGTCATAGCAGTAGAGTAAACCGGCAACCTTGCATGGTACAGATGGTACAATGTCAAGTTTCTCCACTTTTAGCTGCTGCCGGAAAATCATGAGCAAAACAAACAATTGGTGTTTCAAACAGCGTTTTTCATGTTTCTTTTTGCGAAAGTGTTTGCACCCCATCAGCGCTGGTTCCTAGTCTGAGACTTCGCATCCGTCAAACTGCAGATGATTCTGCCGTTTGACCCTACTTGGTAGTTTCAACTCATCACAAAGAAACAACCAGAAGAATCAACTCGAGTATCTCAGAACGTATGTATATATATATATAATGTAAATTAAATCAAGATATTTGTTACAACTAACATATAGCCAAGAATATAGAAACCGAAAACTCCTACTAAACCTAAACTAGTGCTTCATTCCCCAACTGTCAGGTGAGGGTCTCTAGACTTTGACAAAGGTGCAACTTCCCCACTCCTTCTCCTTCACCCCTGTCTTCCTCGCCAAACCACTCCTGTCTTCCTCCCAGCTCCAGATGCAGTGGGCTACGCCTGGACCCGAACACATGCCAGAGAGAATGTCAGAGTATATGACAGATAGAACGGCAGAAAGAATGCCAGATAGAATGTCAGAACAGATGCCAGATAGAATGCCTCAGAATGAATGCCTGAATATAATGCCAGAAAAGATGCCAGAAAGAATGTCAGAACAGATGCCAAATGGAATGCCAGAAAGAATGCCAGAAAGAATATCAAATAGAATAACAGAGTATATGCTAGAAAGAATGTCAGATAGAATGTCAGAACAAATGCCAGATGGAATGCCTCAGAATGAATGCCAGAAAGAATATCAAATAGAATAAGAGAGTATATGCTAGAAAGAATGTCAGATAGAATGTCAGAACAGATGCCAGATAGAATGCCTCAGAATGAATGCCGGAATATAATGCCAGAAAAGATGCCAGAAAGAATGTCAGAACAGATGCCAGATGGAATGCCAGAAAGAATGCCAGAAAGAATATCAAATAGAATAATGAGTATATGCTAGAAAGAATGTCAGATAGAATGTCAGAAGAGATGTGAGATGGAATGCCTCAGAATGAATGCCAGAAAGAATATCAAATAGAATAAGAGAGTATATGCTAGAAAGAATGTCAGATAGAATGTCAGAACAGATGCCAGATAGAATGCCTCAGAATGAATGCCGGAATATAATGCCAGAAAAGATGCCAGAAAGAATGTCAGAACAGATGCCAGATGGAATGCCAGAAAGAATGCCAGAAAGAATATCAAATAGAATAATGAGTATATGCTAGAAAGAATGTCAGATAGAATGTCAGAAGAGATGTGAGATGGAATGCCTCAGAATGAATGCCAGAAAGAATATCAAATAGAATAAGAGAGTATATGCTAGAAAGAATGTCAGATAGAATGTCAGAACAGATGCCAGATAGAATGCCTCAGAATGAATGCCGGAATATAATGCCAGAAAAGATGCCAGAAAGAATGTCAGAACAGATGCCAGATGGAATGCCAGAAAGAATGCCAGAAAGAATGTCAAATAGAATAACAGAGTATATGCTAGAAAGAATGTCAAATAGAATGGCACAATAAATAAATAAATAAATAAATAAATAAATATATATATATATGCCATATATACTTCCAGAAACTGCCAGAAACTATGGCAGAATAGTGTGTCAGGGTGTGCATCACGCGAAGTAAAGTAATTGTTGTTCCGACTTTTTTTTTATTATGTTACTATACAAATATATTGGGAACCACTGTCAAAAGGCATCATTGAAAATTGAAACCAGCACCCAGCGGGCGCCTGCGTTTTGACTTGAGCCTCAGCACCGAAGTCTTCCTTCTGAAACCTGAAACGATGAAAGATATCAACCTATAAAGCTAGCAATCATGAAAGATATCGACCTGTAATTGCTACCTGGTACTATTATCAAATGATAACGATTATCAACTGAAAATGATTATCAACCTGGTCACCATCATTTTCTGGTGATCATGATTCATCATGATATCTGTTTTCTGATCATGATATTATCTGGACATATCTGGACTACTAATATGATGCTTTGCCGATCAATTCTCAGAAGATGGGGATGACCATCCCGTGCCTGGGCCCGTCATCATCTTTCACCTTTTCCACACCTGCCAGGCGCCAAGAAATCCGGCTGCTTTGAAAATACACCAAAAAAGGAACTCACAAGTCTTGGTTCCTGTCAAGGACAGTTTTCTTACTTTCAAATGATCATCTTATTGAACATCTTCATGTAGATATGTAGTAAAAGAATGGTTCCTCTGGGACTTTCGGAGACAATCCCTCCGGTAATCAGCTGCCACGTTTGGACGGCGGAGAAACAGGTCGTAGCTGGCTGGTGGCCACAGCAGCCTTTCCTTGTCTCCATTGAGCCCTTTCCTGCCACGACCGCATCAACTTTCCCACCATGAAAGGGGACGCAGTTCAGCGTTGAACTGTAAAGTAAATCTGACCAAGATTTGTTTGTTCAATGTATATCTTTTAAGGGTTGTTGATAAAAAATGGTTGTTTCATGGTATCTAACTCTGTGTTTCATGCACTAAACCACTAAACAAGGCGCCAATTCTCCTCGTCAAACTGCTTTCGATGCGATGACCCTCGTGGAGCCTGGCCAGCCAGCGCAGCCAGCCAAGCTGGTCTAGTCATACATCATAAATTATCAAAATAATGAGATGTGATTGATAAAATGTTGGCATGATAATCATGAATGACAATATGATGATGATGATGATGTGTATATATATATATGTATACATCACAATATCATGATGATATGACTGCAACCGATGGCATCCAAGTTTGGGAGGCGGCAATTTTTTTCATGACCAGAACGAAGTATGCCGAAGTATCAAACAAAACGATGATTTACCCTCTGGTAAACTAACATAACTGTGGAAAATCACCATTTTTTCATGGGAAAGTCCACCATAAATGGCCATTTTCAATAGCTATGTTAGTTTACCAGAGGGTAGTTGATCGAAAGTAATCATGTTCCTTGGTGATGCTTCACATTGCTTTCAGGCCTTGAAGCTCATGACAATGCATGACAATTCCAACGTTCAACAATCAGCTCTAGGATAATCCAGGTATAATATAATACCAGTGGTACCGCACAAGGCGGTGGCGGAAGGTTCAAAAATAGGAAACCTAAAGGAGAGATTGGTTGTTGTGAATCAGGGATGGCAGAGCGAAGCCACTGATGGACCGAAAGGTGCTTGAAGTCTCCTCTCTTTCTCTCTCTTTCTCTGAGTATCTACCTACCTACCCACCTATCTTCTATGTATCTATCTATCTATCGATCTATCTCTCTCTCTCTCTTTCATCTAATTACCTATCTATCTATCTATCTATCCATCCATCTATCTATCTCTCTCTCTCTCTTTCATCTGTCTATCTGTCTATCTGTCTATCTGTCTATCTATCTATCTATCTGTCTATCTGTCTACCTGTCTATCTGCGGTGCAGCGTCATTCAGTGTAATGTAGTGTAGTGTAGTGAGTGTAGTGTAGTGGAGTGTAGTGGAATGTAGTGTAGTGTAGTTTAATGTAGTGTACTGTAATGTAGTGTAGTGTAGTGGAGTGTAGTTGCGTAGTCGTAGTTGTATTTGTAGTGGAGTGTAGTGTAGTGTAATGTAGTGAAGTGTTGTGCAAGGTAGTGTAGTGTAGTATAATGCAGTGTAGTGGAGTGTAGTGTAGTGTAATGTAGTGTAGTGTAATTTAGTGTAGTGGAGTGTATTGTAGTGGAGTGTAGTTGTGTAGTTGTAGTTGTAGCTGTAGTTGCAGTGTAGTGGAGCGTAGTGTAATGTAATGTAGTGAAGTGTACTGGAAGGTAGTGGAGTGTAGTGTAATGTAGCGTAGTGTAGTGGAGTGTAATGTAGTGTAGTGTAATTTAGTGTAGTGGAGTGTAGTGGAGTCTAGTTGTGCAGTTGTAGTTGTAGTGTTGTGTAATGTAGTGTAGTGGAGTGTAGTGTAGTGGAGTGTAGTGTAGCGTAGTGTAATGTAGTGTAGTGTGGTGAAGCGAAGCGAAGCGACATCTGAACCTCCAAAAGTGGTCCGAACCCCTGGTGTTTTTAACATTTTGACTTCGAAATGTGCTTCGCGCCACAGCCGCGTGCACTTTTTCGACATCTGAACCTCCAAAAGTGGTCCGAACCCCTAGTGTTTTGTACATTTTGACTTGGAAATGTGCTTCGCGCCACAACCGCGTGCACTTTTTCGACATCTCAACTTCCAAACGTGGTCCAGAGCTGGTGTGTTTTGTACATTTTGACTTCAAAATGTGCTTCGCGCCACAACGGCGTGCGCTTTTTCGACATCTCAACTTCCAAAAGTGCTCCGAGACCCAGGTGTTTTGTACCTTTTCACTTGGAAATGTGCTTCGCACCACAACGGCGTGCAATTTTTCATCTCTCATCTGGCCAGCTGGCTCCGCACCCGCCGCCCGCCGCTTTAGCGAGCCTACTTTTCGACCCTCCGGAGCCCCAAATCATTGGAAAACACAGTGTTTCGCGACTTTCCTACCTTTTCGCGCATCTGCATCTTCTTTCTTCTGACTCTTTCTCTTCTACTCTTCTCTCTTCTAATCTTTCTCTTCTCTCTGCCTCTGCCCTGCTCTGCTTTTCATCTGTCCATATTGTCGGAAGTTTCACTTCTAAACTTCCTTCGACCATATATATATATTATATTATAGATATATATATATATATACTGGTTGGTGGTATACCTACCCCTCTGAAAAATATTAGTAAAATTAGTCAGTTGGGATGATGCCATTCCCAAGTGAATGGAAAGTCATAAAATTCCATGGTTCCAAACCACCACAGAGTATATGTTTGTATATATCTCCAGGTTCACCATGGTTTGTAGCATGTTTGCACCTTCTTTGGATCAAAGTCGACCCAGGGTGGAGCACCACCCTCTGCGTGTTTCTTGATACCGTCCGTCCTGGATGGAAACGGTGAGGGCCATAACGATGGGAAACCATCACCCAGTGAATCCTGAGGAAACAGTGAGAAAATGGTGAATCTTCGCAAATGATCTTAAAACAGGATACACTTCCCGTTTTCTTCGAAGTGGTATTGGTATTCCTCAATGGAATGTGAGAGATGTCCTTCTTTTCAACCATATTCAGATGATGTTACTCAGAAGGTGGCAACCCGGAAACCATGCCTTCCCCATCCTCAACCGCCCAATCCTTCATAATGAATTCTCTATAATTGCATCTTCATTTTCCAGATGGGGTACTCTGGTAATTTGTTACGTAGCTATTGAAAATGGCACATTCATAGTTGATTTACCCATTGAACATCGTGATTTTCCAGTTTGCTATGTTAGTTTCAGAAGGTAAACCCTTAATTTTTCATGGTTTTCAGACCATGCTTTCCTATAGACTTCCCCATCAACCAATCCATGAAAAGTATGGGGTGTGGCCTCCACAGCAGCCGGGTTTCTTTCACTTCTTTATCTGCCTGGGTCCAGGTCGTGGATATCTCCTAAGCAATCTGTAAATAAATGAACAAACACATTATTTGGAATAGAAGGGAATATACGTGAATATATACGATAATATATATATATACAGTATATTTACACTACAGTCACATTTATATTTTACTATATATTACATTATAGTATGTATATATATAATATTATATATTATATATCATATGTATACAGGAGATGCAAAAATTATAGAACGAAATTAGGAGTACAAAAGTACGGTAAAATAGCGTACCTTCGTACTCCTCCGTCCGGATCCCGATTCCGCGCGGATTCGGATCCTGTTCTATAATTAATTTGTCTGTTCTTTAATTTCTGGCACCGGCATGATATCTATTGCATTAATCTTGAGGGGATGGAAAAAAGGCAGTTTGCTCAGCCTGGGGACTGGTGTTGTGTTTTTAAACCTTCAATGGCCATTTCAGGGGCTTAAATTGAAGGTACCTACCACATAAAATCCCTATATGTAAGGTCTACTAAGGGAATAATTATTGCCATATATCCCTCGGATTCCCATTGAAACAGCCAGCAACACGCAGATTGTATGACTCTTGGAGGATACTGACATATACTTGCATCATTTTATGTATCTTTCTGGGACCCCGGAAGAGGTTATTTACATATATTTGCATCATTTTATGTATCTTTCTGGGACCCCGGAAAAAAGTGACACAGAAACCAGAATTATACAACGGTTTACGCAAAATTAATTATAGAACGGAAAAACTAATTATAGAACGAAACTGGTAAATGTGGGAAGAATGGGGGGAAACACAATTATAGAACAAACCAGAATGATAGAACGACGAAAAAATTAGGAGTAAGTTAAGATAAGTTTTTTTTCATACCTTCCGAGGAAAACAGAATTATGGAACAACAGGGTACGGTAAATAACCGTACCTTCGTACTCCTCAACTTCGGTTCTATAATTTTGGCACCTCCCATATATATTATTTATCATATATCATATGTATATATGTATGGCAATTATACTAATATATATATATAATATTACTAGATCATCTATTTTAGATAGATAATAGATATATATATATATATCCATAGCATAGCCTTAGCATATCCAGACCTTCCAGGAGGCCACCAAATGCTCCACGTAGCCACCCAGAACCTGGGATCTGTCTGGGATCCCTTGCGCCCCGGCATCGGTTTTTTCCAAGTTCCAACGTTGAAGAATCCCAAAATCAGACAAGAATCAGTTCCCATATGCATGGAGCATCTGGGGTTTGAGACTCTTAATGACTCTGAGTTGTCTTAGAATCTTATATAATTTATATACAATTTATATACGTCAATTTCACTGTATTTGTTCAAATATGTTCAAATACAATCAACAACTGATTGCGAACATACTTGAACCCGGTCACAGCTTCAGGGAACTCTATATATTTATGTGCACGTAAATATATGACATGCGATGTTTTCCATTTTCCAGCCCCAAAAGATGGGACTCGAACCTTTGGTATCTATTCATTTTACAAGTAGGTAAGTATTTAACAAAGAATCCTGGCTGAATTTTGTTCACGAAACTGGAAAAGTAGGTCATTTTGAGAATATTTCCTCAATCCTAACCCGTGATTTATGGTGACTTCTCAGTGAAGTCGTGAGGACGTTCTAATTGACCCAGACCTTTAGGCAGATTTTCAGAGGGATCAGCTGACCATACCCCTATACTCTCCAGTAATCATAGTAGTCTAACATCATTACCCATGGAATCCATGCCCTGGCCCTATCTAGGATTATCTGGTCGGAGTAATGAAGTATTCTAACAGTTCTAACATATCTAGGTCAACGGTTTATCTTTGACTTTGACGAATGATATGTTCAAAAAAAACTACCATGTTTGATGCCCCCGCGCTACCTGTACAGCATTGGGCACCAGAAGAACATGGCCATTCTGAACGCCTGGCTCCAGCGGCTGGTAGAAATGGAGAAAAAATCGCGACCAACGGATCAGGTGGAAAAAGGGGTGTCTACATTTGGGATTCATCTCGAAAATTGCAATCTTTAAGGAAAATTAAAGGAAGCGTACCGTATCATGGTTATCACTGAATTTTTGGAAAGCCCAATTCTAGACAACACCATGTTTCATGCACGTCAGTAATTCAGACCATTGATTATTAGCAAAAACGTCAAGGTGACACCCAAGATTGCCCAAGATTCTGAATGGATATTTCTCCTTGACAGTCCTGCAACTAACTCTCCAGAAAGACTTAGACCGAACCCGGTCACGAATCAAACATCGAAAAACGAAAAAAAACTCGACAGGCTCAGCGAGTTCTCCCCAATTTTTCCCCAGATTTTCCCATCCGATTTTCCCCAGGCAAAGTCATCTGAGTCGGCCGCACGCAAGGGTTCCTTGTTGCTGGAGTACAACAGCAACTTCGTCCCAGGCCTTAGTGCCCCGGCATCGCCGCCCCTATGACTGAGCTGAAGTCATGGTGTATCAATGTTTACCCTCTGGTAAACTAACATAGCTATTGAAAATGGGCCATTTATAGTGGATTTTCCTATTAAAAATGGTGATTTTCCATAGTTATGTTAGTTTACCAGAGGGTACATCCTATGACTGGTACCATCTGGTTATGACTAACAGTTCGCCATGGAGATTTTCCCCAAAACAGCCATGGTGGTTGATGTCGCTGGCAAAATCATCTACTTTGATCAGGGCCATTTTCCATGGCTATGTTAAATAACCAGAGGGTAGAATTTCCGCAATTCGTATACAAAACACCTGCAACAATGTTTCCAACATGTTTCCAAAAAGGGTTGAACCATGTTGAACATAGAAGTTCTCCTCGCCGGGTTCAGCCTTCTGTTGGGCCAACTTCGGTTCACTTCATATCTACTGACAACTACATACTTACATATTGGATCAAATATGATCATATCAAATCATCTGTATCAAACCCCAACAGCCCACGCTGCACACTGGGTCGATGTGTGTGTTAATCAAGAGTTGGGACTTCATATTGCCGTGTTGGTCATCGTCTGATATCTACGCCCAGGTCATTTGCGGTCATTTGGGTGTATTCACTGCATAGATTTCTGACTGAACCCATGAAACTATAGTATTAACTCATTACTCAGCAATTACTCGATATTTCTGTGTCCCCTCATGTTGAGAACCCTTGCTCCCGCTGAATTCCCCGGCAGGGCTTGCCAGTAACATCAACCCCAATGGTGAAATCATGAAACATCGCTGTTCAAAAATCCATCCCGCAGCTGCGCAGCCTAGAGAGATGGTTAGATCATGTTAGATCCCGATTTTGCTTCCTGAAATCCTAATTTTTAGATGTTTGGTGCTGAAATCACAACTTTTCTCCCTGACTTTGTCAAGGTACGGAAGATTCACCGCCAAGGCTTTCACGCTGTCGAACTCGATCGCCTTTTTTAGGCGTGGAGCCAGGAGAGCTGTTTGGAAACCTTGCAGCAAGTGCCTGAATTAGACCCTACAAACCACGGGTTTCAATACGAAAATGATCTAATGACTTGGATGCTTTGGGGCTACCCCTCATCTTAAGAAGCCTCCATATTATATAATTACATATATGTACCGTTCTTTACATATTTACAACGGCATCAACTATATATTAAATATAAATATATATATATATATGTATGCCAAAAGAACAAGAATAATTTATCGGTATATAAACGACATGCACGAAAGAATACGTTTCACGTGATATGTTATAATATGTTACTCTTAAGATTTAAAAGGATATATGACATTCTATAACTATACATACACATATTTAATCATATATATATATATCTATACATACATATATATATATATTATATATTATCATATCTTATATACATATAGAATTGATAGCTCCGATATGGAAAAAAAACGTCTGCGCCTTGAACTTTTGATCTCCAACCGCCAAGTCAAGCGCCAAGAGCCGCCACTTGCCGCCATCGAAGTCATCCTGGAACCTGTCGCGAATCGACGGAAAACCCATGGTTTTTTACCATGGAAAAAATGGAAAGGTTCTATCAAAGTTCACAAAAAAAAACAATTCTAGATCATTCTAGGATGGTTAAGTTTCCCCAAACATGCTAAAGTCGCGAACATAACAATTGTTTTTTTACAACCAAAGATCAACATTCCAGGCTGGTTTTACACATCAATTGGGCCATTCTTGAGGGTAAACCGATCAATTTTTGGGGACAAAAAATACAAAAAACACTCCAATGTCACCATGGCCTGATGTCATTGGTCATACATCATTGAAAAATAAGTGGTTGGAACCAGCATCACTTGAAGGCAAATTGATCTGGATTGATCAACAAAAGCTCTCCTGCAAAACCTCGGAAAGTCGGAATTACCCCCAAACATGGGTATCAACCAGAGAGTTGTAGGATGTTGCCGGCTCCTGGCACCCTTGGAGATGGCTATTAATAAAGGATGTTTCATATGTACACATACCCACATTACCATATTAATAATTTATCAAATGCTCACTGAATGTCTATCATGATGACCCACTACAAAAAGTAGTGATAGATGAACCCAAATAAACCGTTGGATATCCACAAATGATGGTTTATCATGGTTTATCATGGTTTTTCTACCATAAGCATGGGATATCATGGGAGATCAAAATCTTCATGACCACAGCAAATGGATATCTACCTGTGGACCCGCACTTAGTGGGCTGCGTGATATCAGCCACCTGCAAGAGGCGGTGCTGGGTAGGTTGTTTCAACTTTGATTCCTCAAACTTGGATGGTTTAAGTTTGTTTAGGTGTAATTAAATGTATGTAGAATGTAACAAACATCTGCGTTGAGAATAAACTATTTTTATAAGTTCATTTGACGCATGCGGACAAACGGATGCTGATGATGGCCATGATGATAGATTAGTGATACCGCGCAAAGTCTACAAATTAAGTCCCTTAAGCCGCCCAGATTGGCCGACATCGCAGTTGCAGCCGCATGCCTTTTGTAGCTGCACCATGTACTGCCCGGTCCTCAGCGTGGAGGCATAAGTTGAGAAAACAAAACCAGACGTGGTATGATGTTGTGATATGTCGAGGACGAGGACGAGGACGGGGATGATGATGACGATGATGATGATGATGATGATGAGGATGAGGATGAGGCTCTCACATCTTTGACGCGCTCAATGACTGAACTTGCTGCGGGTTCCAGAGATGCTTTTGCCCGTGTAGGAATCGTTGAAATCGATGACATTTCAGCAATGCAGTTTTATCCTACCGTAGGATCAGCCAACGCCTGGTTGATTCTGATTGAGCATTTCCAAAAAATCAGGCAGAGCTTTTGATTGCACTGCTGTGGACAAAGTTTGGAATATTTTGGAATGCATGAATCTATTGTTCAATGTCCTTTTGGTAAAAATAGAGTAATAGAGGGGCCGGTGTGGTATACCATCTATCATCATTTACCTGTTGTTGAAGGGGTAAACAAACCCCTCTATTAATCAACCAACCAATGGGAAAAGGACATCTACGGTTCCCAGAGCCTTACATGTCAATTTTGGCCCACACCGAAGAGTCCTAGCCGCCTTCCTGAGGCTCCCTACGGTACGGTCCCGGAAGACATCCGCGCCAGCTCCTGCGTTCGAACCGCTGCTACTGATTGGTGGATTCCCTTCGTCCCAATTACTCTCACTTGTACATGTTGTACACGGGTGCATCTAAAAGAGGGGTATACTGCGGAACAACCATTTGATATTGGAAAATCATTTGGACTATCGATAAAGCGTTGGATTTAAGGGTGTCCCATTGATAAAACCACACCAAAAATACGATCAAGCCAGTGTAAACGCAAACATCTGGATGGAACCTAAACATACACATGTTCAAGTTTCCAAGTTGTGAAGCCACCAAGCAGCCACAAACAAATATAATATCCAAGCCAAGTAACTTGAATGCCTTGCAGGGCAAGGTGCGGTGCTGATATTGCTGAATGATTTTGAATGATGCATTCCCATCAGCTACACTGAAGTGGTTCAATGTGGTAGATTTCCCTGTCACTTCATCAAGAAACCTTCGCGTTACTGTTAGAAACATGATAAAATGCTGCGGTTCCACATGCAGTCCAGAACTGTGGGTTTGTCTTCTCTGCGGCCTGCAATTTGGTGGTATTTGGTGGTTTTGGCTGCACCCAAAACTCATCCAACCATATCCAACCCGTATACGAACCTGGGCAAAATACATAGGACATAGAACAGCAAACAGTCAGTCATAATATGTTATTATATTTCCGAAATCTACTTAACACCTCTATTCGAAGGGTTCATGGGGCACCACTTGCTACCCTGGATCCATCCCACGATGTAAGAAACTTACTGCTGTGCCTAAACGCATCAAACATCAGAAAGCATCATAAAACCATGACCGTAACTTCAACCCCCTCAACCCAACAAAACATGAAGCTTTCCCTCATCCTCAAAGTTTCTTCGTTACCCAGCCCAACACTCAATATCTCAATTGCCCCTTTGGCTCCTTGGGCAGGAGGCTGTTGTGCTTCAACTTGCGAAGATCCGAATCCTCGCCCCAAATTGGATGACTGTAGACCACTCTCAATTCACGTCACTGTCCTTACATGAGGTAAGCCGATGGAATCTCAATGATTGTTGCTTGCATCAGCCAAATCGCCTAGGAGTTTATCAAAAAACTGGATTTATCATTGATTTATCATGGTATACCCAAAACTTGCAATTTGAAAGAACAGGAAAAACAGATAAACCGTTGCAAATTCCAGGCCCCATCATTCAACAAAGCCGCTGGCCTTGATGTACTCCTCCACATCCTTCCGTCCTAAAGAGTTGGCCTGGCTTGGTGAATGGAGGTGCCTAGATCCCAACTAGCAACGATCGTAAGCCAACATAGACCCTGCCAGGCGTTGGAAGATGAGTTTCCGTCCTAAAAAATGGTGATTTGTCAAGGTCCAACTGTTAACTTACTTAAGAGGGCAACTACATGTAACTACTGTATAAAATCCCGTGCCCCATCTTGCCCCAACATAACCCCCGAAACCTTGACAGAATGGACTAATGGATAGAATCATGGGCAGATCAGAGGAAACACCCTCATCGTCATGGTTTCTCAACCTGGGTCGGGCAGAGCAAATGATCTTTTGCCAGGGGCTTTTTGTTGGGATGATTTTGGGGATGAATGTGCAACCTGTTGTGACACATCTCCCAAAAAAGACCCCGATGATCGATGATGTTCCAAACGCCATCTTCATCCATTATCCCGATGAGCTGACTTCCCCCAAATCTTCGCACTGGCGCCTGTTCTGTGATCTCTCGCTTGGAAGCATCAGTGAGCTCAATGCCCCATGCAGAACTGCAGGGGGAACTGGGACGGATAAAAAAAGGGCATGGGTCCAAAAGTAGACCTTCCAAAATTGGTTGAAGGGATGCATTTGCTAGCTTAACCAAAAAACACATGCTTCCTGCAAACCGTTCCAAATCAATCCATTGAGGTAGCCAAGCATGAGATGAACAATACAAACACGAACTTACTAATCTGTGGCGCCTGTAGCAATACCTATTTGAATTGTTCCCTAGGCCCTAGATGCCCTAGTCAGTCTGTTGTCACTTGGGATCAGCGTCCAGGATGAAACACCACAAACATATTGAAACACGACCGGAAGATCAAGAAGTCTCAACCGTAAAATTGTGTGAGCCAACAAACAAATGCGTTTTTTTTTCAAAACCGGTATTCCTATGTTGACAACTGGTTGATCCTCATAGGCTCCCTATGATTTAATGACCATATCTTGGGGGGCCATAGCCCATTCTCAGACAGGGTATGACAGGGTCCATACCCCTCAGACACACCGAAATATCATCAAGTATCATCATATCCCATGATATCGCTATCACAGTACCAATGCATCCACATGTGCAGTATCAGTTTGTCTGGAAATAGGGTACCCAAAATCCTATGGTTTATCATCGGTTTCCATGGCTAAATGCCGCTATCATCATCATGATGCTATATTATTGGTATACCTCATTTCCAGACACATAGTCAACCATTTAATCATTAACCAGAATTATCTTCCAGCATTTCCAGACACATCATTTAACCATAACACACCCATTTTAACTGGTTGGTGGTTTTAACCATCTTAAAAAATATTAGTCAATGGGAAGGATTATCCCATATATTATGGAACATAAAAAATGTTTGAAACCACCAACCAGTTAACCATATGCTCAATGATCAAATTTCTGTTAGATCAACTGGTCCGAAACTTTCCGCCGTCGCCTCAGGAAATTGAATTCTGCCATCTCCAAGTGACACCATGGACCGAGGATGAGTCAAAACCAAACGGTACCCGGATGGTACCCTAAGTTCTAGCTGGTTAATGGATGTGTATTCCCCAAAATATGATAAAGACATATAATAGATGACAATAGGTTTTGACCCATCCCCAAATGTTGTGAACATTGGTGGCACTTAAGCATCACTTAGGTTCAAAGGACACCGTGGACTGAAGATGGGATCCTTTACACCAAATCTATCCAACTATGGCGAAACAAAACATATATGAAACATGCACAGTGCACTATCATTCAACTCGATGAACCAGCGCGCGAAACTTGAACTAGCTCTCTTGACTTTTGTCTACATGTGAGATTTGTTTCCAAGTGTTTGTACCTTCCAGAACTATCTCGACCTATCATTCTGTCTGTATCATCTTCACGTTGTAAAACAATGACAACAAATAATTCACTCAAGAATTCGTACGCAAGTGGTTGCAGTTGGGACAAACATTGAGTCGTTCATTGTTCTAAAGTCGTCCCTGGTGGGCACAATTTCAAGTCCAGCTGGGCTGCGAAGTTTGAGCGAGACCAGGGTCGGGCGGAAGCGCTGCACTCAGCATCGCTCAGCGACAGGGCGCACATGCTGATGGGCTCAAAATCGGGGATGCACCAATTTATGGCCAAACATGGGTATCTGCTTGGTGGTTGAGCCTACCCCTCTGAAAAATGATGGAGTTCGTCAGTTGGGGTTATGACATTCCCAATCTATGGAAAAATGATATAATATTCCAAACCACCAGCCAACCAGGTATGGGAATGTACTGGATAAACACTTGATGCCTCTCAAAACCACGGCCCGTGTATTTTTTCATTGTCTGATTCACGGGCCGTGCTTGGTACATGACAACATGTACCATGGATCCGCGCACAGGGATTCATAGAATCAAAACAGCAATCTCAGGAGGGGGGCAACAAAAAGGCAATATACATGTGTGGCTTTATTCCGCGGTCTCACACCAAACCCTGCAATGGTTTTTCTTTCGATTCAATTCCAATATAAAATGCATTGAAAGTGCCACTAAAACAAACCAAAATTCCACAGGGCTCACCTGACCTGAATGGTCCAAATGTGGCTACCTAGACCTAGACTCTCCAAGTACGCATAAAATGTCGGCTTTTCTGTGCTCCTTATTTGCAGAACAATTGCAATTTTTCCCCACACAACGTGTTCACGTTTGGGTGAGAAGCATATGTTTGCACAGAATCGAGCTCTCGCCATCCCTGGAACCACCACCCCTGACTGCTACTGTCATCTACCGTTTCCACTTACCGACTCGTGGACATTCGCTTGCAACTCGGAAGTTTTGCTAACTAATTTGTGAAAAGTTGGTCAAACACATTTGTCGCCATTCACCAAACGTACGACGTACGACTCCTTGTTTTCATGTCTTTTCCCCATGCACCTTTTGCTGATCCCGGACGCTGCAGTCCTTGTAAGCCCATGTGGGTACACCCTGCACCGTGTCATCGGTCACGCCCTGCAGAAAAAAAAAATCGACCCACAGGTGGCCGCTAGGATTCTCAAAAATGGCGAAGTTAGATTCCAAAAATGGATTGGTTTATATATATATATATATTATATATATATAATATATATATATATATGTGTATCTATATATATAATACATAATAGATATATATATATATATCATATATATATATATGTTATATATCCATATATATGATGATATCTATATATATATAGGATATATCTATATATATAATACATACATATATACATCATATGTATATATATATATATATACGTATTCATACATTGGTTTAGTCAGATTATATAAGTTGGACTGAGTTAGACTGAGTTATCGGTAATAAGATTAAATTAATCAATTTATAGTCGTCCTGACGGAGATAGATTATGGACATTTGGCAAGAACACAACTTGAATATGGTTGAAATTCCCATCTATCTACAGGATGCTGAAAGATGTACACTTAAGCCAACCATCGAGTTGAAGTCGATAAAGTTGCCCTTCGGTGTTTTATTGCTCTGAAATCCACAGTATCGTCATTGTTCAGGCAAACCATGGCGTTAATTGTGCGAAATCTGCAATGCTCCCGTCCTTTTGACGCATGGCAAGTTTCGACCTGGCAAGATTGAAGGTTTTGGCATCAGCAATGGTGCTGGAGGTAGAACTTTCACTTTTTAATTCCATGTCTATATTATACCAATTTGCACCATGTCTGGATGGCTGCTCATGGTGTCTAATCCCCGACTTCCCCACAGAAGCACACTCCTACCACTTCGTCAGCATCCTGATTCACGATGACAGGCGTCTTCCAAATCCGGCCTTTCAATGAAGATGCGCTCATCTTCTATGAGTTTCAAATCCTTGGATGGCATCTGCCAAAGATCTTCACCATGTTCTTTCCTCAGTTGTCGCAACACAACAACATTGAGAAACATGCTGAAATCACACATTCGCGAAAACGTATGGGCATCACGCAGGGCAGCCAAACCTTTTCACACCTGCCACCAGGTCTTGCTCCGGGCGCCGCAAGTACATCAAAGGCACTCAGGTGCAGGTGGAAGTGGCTTGGCCTCGATTTGAGTTAAACCAGTGGGTTTCCAAGTTCAAGGCTGATGGATCAACAAACAATAGCTGAAGGCTGAAAAATATAACACACTCAGCAAAGCCAGGGAAAAAGGTGGAGGAACCAATGGGCAAAGTATAGTAAAAACATGTAGAGGACTGATTATAAAAAGCAAAATACTGGCACAAATGATGATAAACCTGCATGTATGTGTTAGAATTCCCAAGACATTCCCAGTCACCCACCATCTGAGTCAATCTTAGATACCGGCATCTATAAATTTGTGAATATACCATGTTCTTGTTTGCGGCAGGCAATACAAACAACAACTAAACTACCCATCTTGCAGAACATCTGACTGAATGATGACCCTTGACCAACCTGCGATATTTAGTGACTTTAAAGTGGTTCCCCCTAACCCCGTTGTACTTCAGCCAGGTTTCAGCCGGGTGTGTCTGAAACTATCCCATCCCTATCATCAGCCAGGTTTCAAGACAACCCTCATCACACAAGCAAAAAAAATGTCGTTTTTTTTGCCCCCCCCCCCCCGTAGCTTTGCTCGTGTTATTTCGGAAAATATGAACATGTTGGTTGGGTATGGTTGGGTATACTATTCCATGATATCGCACTGTATGCCCAGGAAAACATATATCATAGAATGGGTGGTTTGTATCTTACCAGCAAATTTAACAGTTGGCTGAACCTCTATGGTCATTAAATGCAAAAATACTTCCTTGGAGTGACCCCCCACCAACTGACCTGTTTTCTGCCATATACAATAATTTATACATATATAACTATATGTATATACAACATTTGATCTGACATTCTGTCTGACCTATATTGTGGCATTCTATCTGACATTCTATCGGGCATTCTTCCTGACATACATCCTGACACTTAGTTTGACAGTTCTTATTTCAGATATGATCTTATTTGACATGTATTCTGACATTCTGTGAGGTATTTTATCCGACGCAATACTGTTCTGACGTTCTATCTGGCATCTTATCAGCAATCCTCACATTCTATCTGACATATATCATTATGACATTCTTGAAAAAAAAACTGGCATAGGGTTCGGGTCCGGCAAGGTCCCGACAGCTGGCGAGCTTGTGATAAAGCTGCCGTGACGGGATATGAGAAGGAGGGTATTGGTAGGATGTCTTGTTAAAAATCACCCTCACCTGGCAGATCAAAAACATCCCTCAGCGCCAAGTGTCTTTCCAGGTTCCTCCTCCGCAACGGTTACAGAGATTCTTCGGGCCAACAAATAGGCCTGGGCTTTCCGTGCTCACTAACAGGGTGGCCTGCACCAGCTCTTTGAAAACTTCTGCGACTTCGATAGAACTTGCTGGCCTCTGAGAAGGTTCAGCATACTCAGCGGGACGCATGCTTGAAAGAATTTATACTTAATATGATGCTTCACGGCTTGACTTAGATGGATTCAAATGGTGGATGAACCACCTTTGTGGAAAAGATGTAAAAAAGATTAAAAAAAAAAAAAAGGATGGACCGAATCCAAGAATCCCTTGAGGATTTTGCTGAACAGGCCGCCGAGCAGGGGGAGGGTCAGCTTGGTCAGCTTGAGCATCAGGTGGAGCTATAAACTGATCAGGATCGGCTTGCAAAGCCAGCAGGTAATACTCCTCACCTGCAGCTGCCACGCTGGTACATAAAACATCTGTGAAAGCAGGCCCTTCTGCACCCTGCAGAGCTATCCTCAAACACGGTGGAATGCCCTTGCTTTGCCTTGGAGCCGTTTCACTTCGCAGGAACTGCAAAAAGTTTTGCCGCCCTTCAGGGTCCAGGAATAGGTCTAAGAAACTCGTGTCGGCCAATTTCTTTGGTGTCTTCAACAATCGTTCCAAGGAGCTCCCCCCAGCTCTTCCAAAAGACCTTAAATAAGGAATTCTCAAATAAGGTGTGTTTTGTTTAAGGTCTTTTTCCTTATTTAAGGTTTGTTTTTTGTTGAAGTTTTTTCTATGTGTTTTGTCTATTTCCTACTTTTCCAAATGTGTTTAGAACATCTCTCCTATCAAGGAGGGAAACAAGGGCATGAGTAGCACTTGTTGCCACTTGTTTCTGTCTGTGCATTTGAATTCATTCATTCTTCAGCTGTTTGTCTCAAGGTCGCTAAGCTTTGGTCCCTCCACCATGGCAAGGGCTAGCAATTCCATGTCCAACAAGGACTATGCCAAAGTGATCAGGGCCAACAAGGTTTCAGTGCTCAAAGAAGACTTTTCCATGTCCTTGGATGATTTTGCTAACAAGCACAGGTCCTTGCTGCTGGATCTGTTGGAGAAGACAGGTCGTGTCAGCAAGACAAGTTTGTCTTCTGCGATGCTTGCTGAAGACAACAGCCTTGATCATTCAGAATGCAGGCACTTCGCTTCAAGGGTTGTGGAAGCTTTTGCTTCTGCCAGAACTATTGGCAAATCGATGACTAGTGGAAAAAAGACTGGTCCTGGCATGAAAGCATTGGTGGAAGGGTTGAGGCAGCAGCGAACACCCAGCAGGTCTCCTCGCTCCAGGAGCTCCACACATGCTGCTCCTTCTTCAAGTGCCACGCCATCATTGCCAACTGCATCAGAGGCACCCACCAGATTATCCAAAGCAGATGCAGCCAAGGCTTTGGGCATGTCTGGCTATGTTGCTTCACCTGCAAAAACCTTTCATGGAGTGCAAGTTGTTTCTTCCTGCAGCTCAGGAAGACAATTGCTCAATCTCGAAGTGTCTGTTACCAGACACAGCGATTTACTGGGTGGATTCACATGCAAATGCTTTGTGTCGCAAATTTCCTGGGCAACCAATGCAATTGGCCAGGATGACACCTGGTGAGAATGGCTTTGGCATTGCCCACTTTGAGGCTGATGCTGGTCCTGCAGAAGAGAAGCAAACTGACATTCCCAATCTCATGTTTGCTACTGCACCATCGAGTGACCACAAGAAGTTGAAGCGACCTGCTGCTGCCATGAAAAGACCTGCTGCTGCTCCAAAAGCAGCACCAAGCCCAGAGCTCACTGCATCCAGCTCTGAGCAGGAAGCTGTTGCTACAGAGCCTCCCTCTGCTGAAGCAGTTGGAGAACTGCCAAAGCAGGGCTACACAGTGATGTACTACAAGGCTTCAGGAGCCTATGCTATTCGCGAAACCAAATTGGGAAAGAGGCAGCTGTTTCAGATCACCAGCAAAAGGAAAACCCAAGCCCAACTTTTGAAGATCATCAATGCTGCCAAAGAGAAGCTGAAAGCTGGGGAAAATGTGGCAGCTGTGAGAAATTGGGCCCGAAACGAGGCATCCAATTGAGCCGAGTGATTTGGCTACAGGCTTTTGCTCTGCAAAAAATGATTCAGCTGGGTGCTTTGGTTTCCTGTAAGATGTTAATCAGAGCTGGCACTCCTATTTAGGAAGGCTGTCTCAGGTAATGGTAATTCCCATTCATCATGGTATGTTAAAGCATTTGGACATAGATGACTACAAATTTCATTTATATATATTATATTCTATTTGTGTAATTTGTTTTATCAAAGTAACAAGATGTATATATATATATATATACACATACAATCAAACATACATGTGTTTGTATATGGGAGCCTTATATGGCTTTTTCATCAGGGTATGGAAATTGTTCATGTGTTATCTCAATATTGTTGTATCATTTTCAAACTCTCCTATGTAGGAGGGTATAAAATGGTCACTTATCAAGTAAGTATCGTGTTTTCCTTATTAATAATTCTCCTATGGAGGAGTTCCAGCCTGGGTGCTGCACAGCTGTCAGTGATCAGTGTTGCTCAGAGTTGCACCATGTCATGACCAGGACAGAATTTGAAATTTGAAAGTTTTTTTTGGGGAAGGCATGTGGTGCCATTCAAACGACTCACATGCAGCCAGTGCAGCTCTCAAGCTTGTGGTTCAGCCAGATCCCTCAGTTTCCTGTTGTGCAGCATGGGTGGTGCTTCATCGAGCAAGGAATCTCCAGCTGATGAGGCTATCAGGACAGTGAAGGGAGTTTCAAATTTTGTCTCCTATGTAGGAGGCATTTTTTTTCAGACAAGATGCACCTCCTACCCAGGAGGTGCTATCATATGTTGTTATTATGATGGTATAATCTAATGTAACATAATAAAACCCCTGCCAGGACCGCCATGGATGTGATCAGGCAGATGCAGGTGACTCAGCAGCTGACCTTCCAGCAGCTCCAGGCACTGTCAAATGCCTCAGCTCCTGTGGCAGGTGGGGTGGTACTACCACCTCCACCACCTCCACCACCTGCTGACCCTCCTGCTGAGGCACCAGTGGATGAAGGGTCTTGGTGGTATCAAGGTCCCAGGACTTGCAGGAAGTGCGGGCAGAAGTCATATTTGAGGCAGAATATCTGCTACAATATGGACTGCGTATCTAAGTGACATTTAATTGATTTTTTATTCATTCTTTCTTTATATGGCTTTTTTTGAAGTGTATATGTATATAGATAGGTAGGTAGATAGATAGATAGATAGATATGGCCTTTGCTCAGGCACTCAGCTTCAACAAGCTCCCTGCTGCAGAGCTTGGGCAGAGGTTGCTCCAATGGGGCGCTGCAGACTGGGGCCAAGGCCCTGTCACTACCACTCGTGTCCAGAAGTCGAAGAAGAACAGAGGCAAAAAGCGCAATCAGTGGATGGCAGAGGTGAAGGCATTCCATGCTGGCAGGGGCAAGGGATCTTCCAAGGGATTCCCAGGTGCACCCTGGTGGCCTACTGAGGAGGCAAAAAAGAAGCCAGGGGAGGAGGAGGAAGAGGAGGAGGAAGATGAAGTCGAGATGGTGGAGCCCCTGGTGAAGACGTTCAATAAGGACGATGATGATGAAGATGATAGCTTTGAAAGCATGCCCAGGAAGCGCTTTTGTGTGTTTGGGCCATAGGCATCAGCTTGAGGTAGGCTGCTATGAACCATTATGTTTGGATCAGAGCTTGTGCACAAAGCCAAGCACCTGTTTCTGGATTTGCATTGGACGGCAAAAAAGAATGCGTTGGGCTGCTGCTGCTTGGGATGGGAAGGCAGAAGGTCTCCTATGAAGGAGGCCCACTCCTAATTAGGAGTGTAATATATGTTCATGTTTTTTATTGCCTCCTATTCAGGAGGTTTATTTTTAGCAAGCACCACATCTCATATCTAGGAGTTTTGTGGTTGGATCAAGGATTGTGGGATGGGCCTGGCTTGGTGTGCAGGATTGAATTCATAGTTTATGTCTAGATATACTGTTGTGGAATTCATGGTTCATAGTTTGATAAATAGTTTTATCTTATGGTTCATTCACAAATGATGCATGGATCCTTGGGTACAATATCAGGATTTAACTTCATTTAACTTGGACCCCCTGAAGTTAAATTTAAATTGTTTTTTAATTATAAGTAAAGTTAAATGAAGTTAAATAAGTTAAATCCTGTACCCTGTATAGATACAAAACCTTTCTGTTCATCCAATTTGGCTGGATTGTTTTCATCACATAGAATTTTGGACATCAAATCTAGGTCAGTTGCTGTGATCCCTTTCTGTTCATCACCAATGGGAAAACCAGCTGCAGAGAAAAAGGCTGCCAAGGATACCACCAAGAGGGATGCCAAGAGCAAACAGAAGGATTCAACCCAAGCTGCTCAAGACAAGAAAGATCAGAGCAACATGTTGACCCAGCTCAAGAAAGGTGACACCACAGAGAAAGTTCAGACTTTGCAGCTCTACCAGAGCCTGCCCCGGTTTTCTGATGAGAAACTGGAGCTCCTCAAGAAATGGAAGTTGGACAAGACTTGTAAATGGATTGCATCCTACAAGGAGACCAGGTCCATGACACAGACCACCAAGCACCAAGAGAAAGACGGTTTTGCTACCAAGTATCTAAGCATTTTGTTTATGATATCATTTTGTCAAATAGATATCTATGATTATACTTTTGTTTCACAAGATGAATTATAAACCAACATAATGAACATCTGCCCAGCTCAGGTATCAAGTGGCCGAGATCTGCAAGCTCCCTGTGGAGAGCAAGGAACTCAAGGCAATTTTAGCTGAGCTTCCCCAAGATGATCATTGGGATGAGTCGGTTGCCTTGGAGAGAGGCTACAAGAAGGCTGGGCTTACCAGGTACCACCTGGTTGGCCTCAAGGACTTCACTACCAGGAGCTCTGAGGACACCTACACTGAGGAAGCCTCCAAGTCGAAGACTACCGCCTTCAACCAAAGTGGCACTGGCAATCTCCAGCTGGCAGCCCATGTGAAGGATGAAAATCCTTTGCACACAGCTTTGCTTCAGAAGATTGCTGTGGCTGAGAGTGGCAAGGCTGCTATGGAGAAAGTACGCTCCCAGATTGGTGATTTCCATGTGGCTTTGACCAGAAAGTTGGCCAAGGACAGCTCTTGGAAAAACAAAAGCATGGAGATTTCCAAATCCTTCTTCAAGCTCCAAGATGAGACCCTTACTCTCAGAACTCGCATTGCCGAAGCCAAGGAGCTGCAGCCTAGTGAGGTCACCCAAGAAACCCTGGACAAGTTCACCTTGGTGGTGGAGAATGCGAGCACTTTGGTGGATGTGGCCAAGAGCCAGGTAAAGCAAGTTGGAGGCTTGCTGGCGAATTCTTAGATCTTAGTCTAGCTCCAGGCTGAAACCTCTTTTGGCCATGCCTGCACAAGTGCTGCAGTCAGTCATGGCCTTGCCACTTGTTCCCTGCTGTGGAAAAAAGTGCTGCTGCTTTGGTGTGGGGTGGCTGGGCAATGGTAGTGGCTCCTATATAGGAAGCTATCTCCTATCTAGGAGATTAAATCAATATATCTAACCTTGGTTTTCTTACTCTAGATGGTTCTTTCTGTAGGGTGGTCACAGCTGTGTAGGAAGGGTCTACTCTGGCCACCTGTCACCTTGTGCTTTCACTTCTGGCATAAGCAGCTCATTGCTGTAGACTTTTGGCTGCTTCAAGATGTTTCACCCACAGATGCAATGTTCAGCAAAAATGCTTTACCCAAGTTGGATGAAGAACCTGACCCTCACAGACGGTTGAAGGCCAATGTCAGAGATTTGTTTTTGACAAATCAGGTGAGTGCTGCAAGGGCTGCCAGTTTGTTTTCTGATGCAGCTAGTGCTGGTGTGCAAGCCCTGCAAGATGTGGCTGGCTTAGAAGCCAAAGCCAACTGTTCACCGAGACCTTTTGAGAAAATTGGCAAAGAAATCGAACGACTGGCCTCGACTTTACTGGGCCAAAATTGATTTTTGGCACCACAAAAAGCAAAAGGTGCAGAAAGAATGGCTGGCTTTCTTGCTGCCGCATGAATGGCTTGGCAAGTTGGCTGCCAAAGTCAAAGATGCCAGCCTTCTGGCCACCTGGCAAGGGTTGGGCCCCACTGCTCAAAGCGAATGTGCCAGAGCTGCTCAAGAACTTCAATGCAAAGATCTCATCCCTTTGAGTTTTTGGTGCGATGCAGTGCCTTACAACTGGGACAGGTCACAGAGCTTGGAAGTCATGAATTTAGGAATGCCAGGTGTTCCTGAGTGGATGAATCTCAGGATTCCTTTCACTTGCTTTGAACACAAGCGACTGTCTGCCAACACTTTCGAACAGGTTTTTGGAATTCTTATTTGGAGTTTGCAATCTTTGGCCTGTGGTGAGCACCCTTTGCAGCGACATGATTTCCTGGATTGGCTGCCAACTGACAAAGCCAGGCAAAGGCTTGCAGGCAAACCACATGGGTTGAGGGCTGCCTTGTCAGTGGTAAAGGCCGACTGGAAGGCTTTCAAAGAGATTTTCCATTTTCCTGGTTGGCAAGGCGATGAAGGGTGCTGCTGGCTTTGCAAGGCCACTGTACAAGATATGCGAAGCAAACCACACACTGCTGACATGCCTTTGGACCATTGGTCATTTCTGCACAGGCAAAAGTATGAGTATGGCAAACCTGTCAGCACACTTTTAGCTGCTCCCACTTTGAGGGTGCACCAATTCAAGCCAGATTGGTTGCACACCATGGACCAAGGCTGCACTGCTGATTTCCTGGGGATTTTTTTTCTTTGGATCCTTCTTCCCAAAATGCATGGGAGGAACCAAACAGAGCGAATCAGATCCCTTTTTGTTTTGATCGAAGAATATTATGCACAGCATCCTGTCCAACAGCGCTACAACACCTTGACTGTGAAGATGCTCCAGAAGAAGCCCACTTCTGCTCCCAAACTTCGAGGCAGAGCTTCTGAAGTCAAAGGCTTGGTGCTTTTTGGAAAATTGATGGCTGACAAATATTGCAGAGATGATGACCTGGTTGAACACTCTGTGAAGATGGCTGCCCATCATTTGAACAATTTGTATACCATTGTTTCGAACAGAGCGTCTTTTTCACCAGCTGCAATGCACACTGAATCCTTCAAGCTGAGATCTTTGCTGAAAGCTTTGGATGCGCACCATCCACAGAAAAATATGTGGAGGCTCAAGCCTAAGATGCACCTCATGGAGGAAGTGTGTGAGAAAGCTGAAGACAACCCCTTGGATTCTGCCACATATAGAGATGAGGATTGGGGAGGAGCAGTGGCAAGGTGGGCCAAAAGGCGAGCAGGTAAAAACACTGTGGCCAGTACAGCCCACAATGTGCTCACCAAGTTCTGTGCCAACAACAAGTTGCCCGACCTTTGCTGAGAGAAAAAAGTGCTGCCAGCTGCTGGGCTTGGGGGAATGGTTCAAGATGCTCCTACATGCTCCTACACAGGAGTGTCTGCTCCTATGAAGGAGCCTGCAAGGAACAATTTATGCCTCCTACAAAGGAGGCATAAACTGACAAAATTGAAAGTTAAATAAAAAAACCTTAAATAAGGAAAAAGCCCTTAAATAAGAAAATATACTTTAATTAAATAAGAAAAAGACTTTAAATAGAGTCTTTTATTGAAAAACACCCCTTAAATAAGGAAACGAACCTTCTTTAAGGTCTGATTTTAAAAGGTGTTTTCTTATTTAAGGTGCGTTTTCTTATTTAAACACTTTTGGAAGAGCTGGGCCATCATCAACGATGTTGTGATTGCGAGAGTCCAGACCCTCCGCGAGGCCACCAAGAGGGAAGAAATATCTTCTGAATCCAGCTTACTTGCGATGTGCGATTGCATTGCAAACACGATGAAGGTAACAACACCAGCAGCACCGGTGTGATCAGAGTTGAAGCAAGGAACGATGGTGACACAGTGGGCAAACCAATCAACTGGCACTCCCGAGATCTAAAATCAGTGGCCCAGAACATCTCAAGTTCCGTCGGCGACGCCATAAAGGTGCACGGCATAGCTGAACAGAAAAGCAGCCTCCAGAAAGCGAATGTGGCTGGCACTTTTGATCTCAACAAGAGCTGATTGAACAAAAGCGTGCACACCATAGCTGATCGAAATTTTACAGAGTTGCACCCAGGATGCTGGTCTTCCGGTTGCCACCACTCCGTACATGCTGGCCAGAAGAAGGGCAAAAGCGATGTGAATTGCGACACGTTGGACCATTCGGAACATCCGAATGCGAGATTGCAACAGCTCTTTGTCAAAACGTCGCTTCTTGTCCAGCTCCCTTTGGGTCATGACATGCTTGTGTTGCTGGCATTTCTCCAACAGTCGTGCCAACCCCAGTTTCACTTCGGATTTCGTCAAATAAATATGCAAACCAACCAATGGCATTGCCATTGCCATGACGGGCGGCGATGCGAAGAACTCCGAAGTTTCAAATCGTTCCATTGCTGCGGTCGGCAACGCCTTCTGGATCCCAAGATTCAGGAGAAAGCTCTGACGCACGGGCCGCACGGCTGGACCGTAACAAAGTCACAAAATTGGAGCGTTGTGGAAGGTGGGCAAATATGGGCAGGCCATGTCAGACACGATGTAAAATATGTTAAAATTGAGAAACATCATATGGAAAATTCAGGTTCTGGTCATGTCCCAATTAGATCCAATTAGGTCATCCTTTGATGGCATCTGCCAGAAACGGCATCACGAGAACGTGGCAGCCGACCTTTTCCACATCTGCCAACGCAGATGATATCGAACGGGCACCATCGAAAAGCCGGCACTTCAAAGATATGCGGGTGAAATGGTGCTGCAATCTTCGGGATCCTATGAGTATAGCTGACTTGGTCAGAAATCTATGGGTGAAACCTATGGCACCCATCACCGGACATCGCCCTCTTCATGGATGCTCTCCAGGTCATCCCGGCGCCTCCGCAACTGCCGTACGTCAAAGGTGCTCAGATGCAGATGGAAATGGCTGGGCCTCACCGCATGGTACCATCCAGGTCACCAAGATTTTCCCCGCACCATTTGAGGCTATCTGAGATACTCTGCACTTTTGAACAAATATGTAGATACATAATTATATATATATATTGCATTATATTACTGTATATTAAATATATAATTAAATTTACTACTTCTTATATTGTTATGTGCGACAAAAGATGCAAACAAAAAACAAAACTAGGTCACGCGGTCTCCTGGGTAGCTGTGGCGATGGAATCTTTAGCAGCAGCATCTGGGCTGAACTTTTCAAACACTTTTCCGAGGCCACCTTTTGGTGCCTTTTACATGTAGCGAATTGCGTCTTTGCCTGGTGATTCACTTGAATGATGGGACTTCAGAGTCTCTTCTGCATAGGCGTCTGAATACAAGGCACTAATTTTATTGTGACTGATGTTGCTGCAAAGACAATTTAACATCACATAGAAATTCTTTCACAATGCAAGTGCAAGTTAAAGTTTACAGTTAAAAGAGGCAGCGTCAGTAATGAAGTAATGGGTCGAAGTGAAGTCAAATTGAAAAAGGTAGCATCAGCAATGTGTGGAAGTGCCAGTCAACTTTTAAGTAGCGTAACAATAGTGTGTGCAATATCAAGTGAACGTTATTGTCCCCGGTAACATAGCATCAACTATATTTGTAAACGAAATTGACCCTCCACTGCACCGCTGTGGCAGGTAAAACTAAGGCCTATTTGACCTGCGCCCGCGTTTTGCATGAAATCCACATTTTACAGTAGTGGTTGTTACTGGTTGTTTCATGTTTAATTCAGTTTGAAAACCAGATTCCATCAACATTAACAAGTGAGGCCTGCCAGCACAGCTTGTTTCTCCGCACGGGTTGTTGTACTGGGATGGGTTGAGTGTCTTCCCTGACCTTCCTCTTCCCGTTTCATGCCTCCTAAAATTGCTTGTGCTACGCTGGAAAAGCCAGCTCTCTCGAGAAGCTTGGGCAAAGCGCCCTCGGATTTAGCATTGGTTGAACAATTTCATCTCAATTCTTCCTATAAGAAAGTAAACACAAAACATATATGAAAGTGCCAGGAAATAAACAAAAATAAACACCTTGGGTTTTCCAACTTTTGATTCTGTGTTTTTGCAATATGTTGTTGAACACATAAAACAAAGTAACAATAAATCTTAAACACTAATTGATCTCCAACTTGAGACTAGTCAAGACTTCAAACATTCAAACATCGTCAAAAATCAAACATGTTGAAAAAATCCATTGTTTCTTTTTCAGTGTTTGATTTTTGTTGAACTATTTCCTTGGCTTTTGAAACCTTATGAAATTCCCACTTTCGATTTGTCAGAAAAAATATGTTCCTTGTTTTTTTTGGCCAGGTTTTGAAACACACATCTTCCTAGGGAAACACACATCGGGCTTTTCCACTGTTTGGATGTGTTTGTTTTTGCTGAATAAACACGTTCAACACATTAAACACATGATCTCCAACTCGAAGCTATTCAAGAATTAACACATTCAAAATCATCGAACATCAACAGGTTGAATAACCGTTTTACAAAATCTCACAAAAACCCAAGGAATGATTGGTAAGAAAAATCAAACGCCGGAATTTCAAGAGTCAAAATCAACAAAAATATTCGGAACTAGTCTTAAAACATTATTTCAACTCTTATTGACTTCTTTAGAAATAGTAACTATAACAACACCCTGGATAAAATCCAAACATTGATCTCCAACTTGACACTGATAATTCTGGGTCACATAGGCGCCACCCGAGGGGACGGCGGCAACTGCCCAGCAAAAAAATGCCAGGTGACTTTGGGATGATTCCGCCCATACAAAACACACAAAAAAAACTTAGTTTTTGTTGAACAGTCGCGCAACTTCAGCCAGAGAAGCGGGGTTTGTCTGAAACTACCGGTTTCCATTCACTGGTTTATCACATGTTTTCTCATTTTAACTGCAATAAATGACCGATAAATATATGAAAATATCTCATCTTTCAGATTTTAAGAACATATAAAACCATCCATCTCATCATGATTTATATAATTCATCCATATTCATCCTATGATCCCCCAATGAAATGGTTGGTTCTAATCCTCCATAAAATTTGGTCTTATCTTTGGAAATTACCATATCTGATTACGGGATAGGGATACTATGAAATGTCACCATAAAATAATATAAAATATCATAAACTGGTTAGTTTTCTACGTGTAGACCACCATTTTTATGGTTCATCCTCCCCAAGACGCGCCAAGTGTCTTTCCAGGTTCTTCCTCCTCCGCCACGCTCACAGAGACGTTTCGGGCCAACAGATAGGCACGCGGCCGACTGCCCGGAATGCGGAACAACAGGGGAGCAGGGAAGCCAGGGATTTCCGCATCCTCCAAGGTCAGATTTTGATGATGAAAAATGGGGGCATGACTGTTGACGAATTATGAAATCACCAAGTACAAGGATTCAAGCTATGCCAAAAGGGCAATCCAATGTGATCCATCCTGGGTAGGGTCAAAAATGATCCCAAACATGGATAAAAATGGATGGTTTTCATCCGAGAATTGGTACCACATTTTCGACCCGAAGCCCAATAGCATCCAATAGCCATGAAGGGAAGACAATAAAAAACACTGTTTTCTGGTCAAAAATCAAGAAATATCAAGTACCCCAGTAGTGGGCCGCATCAACGCCGATGGTTCAACCATGTTTCAGCCGTTGAAATTCTCCCTGTCCTCCACCGAAAGGCTGCGCGCATTCTTGAAGAAGTCATCCACGCGTGGCCAGTCATTGATCCGAATGAAGCTGCGTAGGGTGGGCATGCCGTTCTCACGAGGACGTCGCAGGAATGAGAGGCTCACCTCTTCGATATCCATCCCTGGTAGGACCAGGTCGAAAGATCTGATGAGCACCCATTGTCACTGGTATAATATGGTAGTAATTAAGTATTAATCCTGTGTTTTCAAATGGGAGAACAAACAAATGCAAGTTCTATTATCCTGTGATCATCTGCGATCGTTATTCAAAGCCCATTTAGGCCCATTTACCCCATGTATCGCATGTGTCTCATGCACTAGTACTACCACACAAGGCGGTGGCGGAAGTTTCAAAAATAGGAAATCTATAGGAAGGGTTGGATGTAGTGTGGTGTTGTGCAGTTGTAGTTGTAGGTGTAAGTGTAGTTGTAGTTGTAGTGTAGTGGGGTTGTAGTTGTAAGTTGTTGTAATGTAGTGTAATTTGTGTAGCGCAGTTGCAGTTGTAGTTGTGGTGTGGTGTAATTAATGTAGTGTATTGTAGTGTACTGTAGTGTTGTGTACTGTAGGGTGGTATAGTGTAGTGTAGTCTAGTGTATTGTAGTGTAAAGTAGTGTAGTTGTAAGTGTAGTGTCGTGGAATGCAACGTAGTGGTAGTTGCAGTTGTAGTGAAATGTAATGTAATTAGTGTAGTGTAGCGTTGCGTAATGTAGTGTAGTTGTAGTTGTAGTTGTATTTGCAGCTATAATGTACTGCAGTTTAATTAGTGTATTGTAGTGATAATGTAGTGTAGCTGTACTTGTAGTTGTAGCTGTGGTGGTGGTGGTGGTGGTGGCGGTGGCGGTGGCGGTGGTGGTGGTGGTGGTGGGGGTGGCGGTGGTGGCGGTGGTGGTGGTGGTAGTGGTAGTGGTAGTGGTAGCGGTAGCGGTAGCGGTAGCGGTAGCGGTAGCGGTAGCGGTAGCGGTAGCGGTAGTGGTGGTGGGAGTAGTAGTAGTAGTAGTAGTAGTAGTAGTAGTAGTAGCAGTAGTAGTAGTAGCAGTAGTAGTAGTAGTAGAACTAGCTGTTGTAGTAGTAGAACTAGCTGTTGTAGTAGTAGAACTAGCTGTTGTAGTAGTAGAACTAGCTGTTGTAGTAGTTGTAGTGTAATTAGTGTAGTGTAGTGTAGTGTAATTAGATGTAATTAGATGTTATTAGATGTAATTAGATGTAATTATGCAATTAGATGTAATTAGATGTAATTAGATGTAATTAGATGTAATTAGATGTAATTAGTGTAGTGTAGGGTAATTAGCGTTGTGTAATGTAGGGTTGTAATATATCTGTACTTGTAGTTGTAGTTGTTGTGTAGTGTAGTGGTACTTGTAGTTGTAGTTGCAGTTCTATCTATCTATCTATCTGCAAGCTTGAAAACAAAGCTATTCTGCGAGAATTCCTCAGTTTTTGAACTTGACAACGTCAAAAACGAAACAAGTCTGCGAGACTTCCTAAATTTTCGAGCTTGACAACATCAAAAACAAAACAAGTCTGCGAGACTTCCTCAATTCTCGAACTTGACAACATCCAAAACGGAGCAATTCTGCGAGACTTCCTCAATTTTCGAAGTTGGCAACATCAAAAACGAAACAATTCTGCGAGACTTCCTTCAAAAATGGAAAGTTGAGTGCAGAGCTGACGGCCTCGTACCAATGCGTTTTGCAATTTGTCCACTCCACCTGTCTAAAGTACTGCCCTTGCCACGAAAAAGTGAAGCCAGGTCAGACGAAATGCTGCACCTGTCACGCAAGATCATCTTAGCAAACCTGAAGATCTGATGCTCCAAAATGCAGCCCTCTCAGGAAATCAGTGCCCTGACCTCCTAACATCTCTGATGAACATGTCTCTTGTATTGCGCCTGCCACGCAAAATATGCATCTTGGCAGATCGTCTTCAAATGTCCCACGCCTGCCAATGTTTTTGAAACTGCTACAAAACCCTCACGTTTTGCTCAAAAAGTGACAAGGTGCCCAATCCCTTGCGCCTGCCACGCGAAACGACATCTGAACGTCCAAAAGTGGTCCGAGCAAGGTGTGCTTTGTACATTTTGACTTGGAAATGTGCTTCGCGCCGCAACGGCGTGCACTTTTTTGACATCACAACTTCCAAAAGTGGTCCGAGCAGGGTGTGCTTTGTACATTTTGACTTGGAAATGTGCTTCGCGCTATACAATGGCGTGCACTTTTTCGACATCTCAACTTCCAAAAGTGGTCCGAACCTGGAATTCGACATGTGCTTCGTGCCACAACGGCGTGCACTTTTTCGATATCTCAACTTCCAAAAGTGGTCCGAATGGTGTGCTTTCTACCAGGACCTTCCAACGTAGCACTTTTTTTCGCCCCTATGGTCATTCGACACAGAAATCGACAACTCGATACACTTTTTCCAGTTCGTAGCGCAAATTTCTGATCCGAGCAATTTTCCTGAGTTCGACCTATTTTCTCTTGGCTACCCGAGCTCGACTGAAAACAGGAATTGTTTGCTTTGATGCGACACTAGTTCGAGCGAAAATTTGCGCAAAAAAGCCGCAAATTCAAAAACTGTAACAAATCCAACTGACAATGGGGAAGGCATGAACCCCCTCGAGCATTTTTTCTGCAAAAGAGCAGTTTTTTTTGCAAACGGGCGAAAATCCACAGCACGAGCAAAATAAAATCGCTACACAAATAAATGTATCATTGGAGGGTCTTGGTACATTTTGACTTGGAAATGCGCTTCGTGCCACAACGGCGTGCAATTTTTCATCTCTCATCTGGCCAGCTGGCTCCGCACCCGCCGCTTTGGCGAGCCTACTTTTCGATCCTCCGGAGCTACAAATCATTGGAAAAACACAATGTTTCGCGATTTTCCTACCTCTTCGCGCACCTGGATCTTCTTTCTTTCTTCTGAAACTTTCTCTTTTTTGATATTCTTTCTTCGTCTCTTCTCTTCTCTGACTCTTCCCATCTCTGCTTTTCATCTGTCCATATTGTCGGAAGTTTGACTTCTAAACTTCCTTGCATCATGTTCAACAAATCATAACTCCAAGCCTAATCCCAAATATTTGCCATTATCCCATCCTTCTAATAGATTCTAATCTTTCCAAGTCCAACAATTTACTAAATCCGAGCCTGGGCTTTCCTTGCTCACCAAGAAGGTAGCCTGCATCAGCTCTTTGAAAGCTTCTGCGACTTCAATGGAGCTTGCCGGGCCCTGAGAAGCTTCAGCATGCTCAGCGGGGCGCTTCCTTGGGAACATCTCTGAAGAGATTGGCCGACTGGACTCCTGGACCCTCCTTAAGTAACCGGAAAATTCTCTTCTGCACCACCAAAATGAAGTTTTTACCAATTGTACCCGGTTTGTGTGGGGGTATTTGGAGGGTCTATAGATTGTCTATAGGCAAATGGACTCAAACAATCGACATTGCAAATCTTAGAGAGAATTATAATTAGAGGATACTGGACGGCTTCACTTGTAAATGAAATCTTTTATTAACATTTATTAACCATAACTCACCTTTACGCACCTTTGTGGAAAAGGTGTTTTAAAAAAAAACAACAGGATGGACCGAATCCAAGCATCCCTTGAGGATTTTGCTGAACAGGCCGCCGAGCAGGGGGAGGGTCAGCTTGGTCAGCTTGAGCATCAGGTGGAGCTATAAACTGATCAGGATCGGCTCGCAAAGCCAGCAGGTAATACTCCTCACCTGCAGCTGCCACGCTGGTACAGAAAACATCTGTGGACACAGGGCCTTCTGCACCCTGCAGAGCTATCCTCAAACACGGTGGAATGCCTTGGCTTTGTCTCGGAGCCGTTTCACTTCGCAGGAACTGCAAAAAGTTTTGCCGCCCTTCAGGGTCCAGGAATAGGTCTAAGAAACTCGTGTCGGCCAATTTCTTTGGCGTCTTCAACAATCGTTCCAAGGAGCTCCCATCATCAACGATGTTGTGATTGCGAGAGTCCAGCACCAAATCCCCGTCGCAGACCCCTCTTAAGACCCTCCGCGAGGCCACCAAGAGGGAGGAAATATCTTTTGAATCCAGCTTACTTGCGATGTGCGATTGCATTGCAAACACGATGAAGGTAACGACACCACACGCAGCGGTGTGCGAGACCAGAGTTGAAGCAAGTAGCATGGGTTTGACATTGGATGAACCCATCAACTGAAACTGCTTGTAACTTAGCGACACAGCCCCACAGATGTATACTGGAAGCGGCATCTTCACATCAATGAAGACCACAGACAAAAGGACCATTGTCACTTGTGAGACTTTTTCAGTGGCTGAGAACATCTCCGGTTCCGTCTCCTGCACGACACCGCAGAGGTACATGGCATAGGTGCCGACACAAGAAACTTCCAGAAAGCGAATGTGGCTGGCACTTTTGATCTCCAAGACACCTGATGCAATCAAAACATGCAAGCCATAGCCACTACAGGTGCCTAGAAGTTGCATCCAGGAGGCCACACCGCCGCTGGCCGCCAGCTTGTGCATGGTGGCCAGAACAAGGGCAAAAGCGATGTGAATTGCGACACGGTGGACCATTCCGAAAATCTCAATGCGAGCGTGCAAAAGCTCTTTGTCAAAACGGTGCTTCTTGTCCAGCTCCCTTTGGGTCATGACATGCTTGTGTTGCTGGCATTTCTCCAGCAGTCGTGCCAACCCCAGTTTCACATCGGATTTGGTCAGGCAAACATGTAGAGCAGCAACTAGCATTCCTATGGCCATGAGGAACCAGGGCGATTCGAGGAACTCCAAAGGTTCCAGTTCCATTGCTGCGTTTTGTTCACGCCCGTGGCGGATGAAAAAAAACGAAAAACACTTGAAGCAAACAGGGTCCATTGGCATGTCTGCGTCCCAAGATGCAAAGCCCCCAAGAGTTCTTTGTCGCACATGACCTCTAACAAAGATGGACTTTTGTGGAAAAAAATGGAAGAAAGGACGGGTGGGCTAAAACCAGGTCACGTTCTGGTATTTAACCTGGTATCATTTGTGTCTTCGACACCATTTCATACTGTATTTTACATGATTCTGTGTCAACCTGGTGCAATCAACCCTCACGGCGCGTTTCCTTTTCACTTCAATTTGCCGAGCTCAGACTTCAAATCTGTGTTGACCGGTAGATGATATCGCCAAACAAAGGCATGCATGACGTATGTATATTGAGTGCGATAGAACATGACGTTAGCGTACCATGACGTTATTAGCCCACCCCACCTCAGCCCACCCCAGATGTAGCATGACGTATGTATGTTGAGTGCAATAGAACATATGTTAGCGTAGAGTAAACACACCAAAACTACCAGGTGATTTATCAGCCCTCCTAAAACAACTGCTAGATCACACGCCAGTGATTTATCAGCTAATCATCATGCGGTCTCCTCAAAATTCTGGGAGTTCCACCCAGAATTTTCCACAGGGATTTCCGCTCTTCCAAAAGGCCCAGTGTCTGACTCAAGGCCTTTTTTGGTTTTTCCCTCTCTCTGCTGTGTTGCACGGGGTCGACCTGGCGGGCACCAGTTTGGTGCAATGTTTGAAATAAATTTTATCAGATGTGTGATTCAATACAACTATAGAACCCTGCCAGCATTTTATGGACATGTTTCATGGGATATCCATGATATGTATCCTGTGAAAAAAACAACCAACAACATGATGAATGGGGGTGTCTTTTTAAAGAATGATTTAACATTCAAAGTAGCTTTGTTCAATGGGAAACATGTGGAGAAATGATGAGAAACTGTTGGAGTTGTGGGTATCCCATTTGCAGGCCACAAGCCATTTGCTTGTTGATTTGCAGTTCCTTCTATAAATGGTAATCTATAAAGCTCAGGGGACATGTTGAGATACTAAGGGAAAAAACGTGTATAGTCATACTGTATAGCGAGGAAAGTTGGAAGAGCCGTTCATAAAGTTTGGCTGCTCTGCTGCAGCAAAGTGTTCCCTTGTCCATGTGACATTTCGCAGTGAAGTCCATTACAATGCAACCATCAAGGGTCCATGGCCAGCTTTGAGACCTCCGCATCAACTTTCAAGACTTACATTGGATACCCATTGGATACCCACATGTGGGAATATATTAACTGGATTTCATGGGATTTAATGGGAATATAATGACATTTACTTGGTTTTATTGGGAAATATCCCCTTAGCCTTGCTGGCTCATACCAAGGGCCGGTATTGGCCGGGGATGCCATCTTGCTCAGCAAAACAAGAGCTGTTCTATGGCATAGAAAAATTATATCCAGCAACAAAAAGAAGAAAATAAACAAACAAAAAAAAAACGAAATGACCGAAAGTGACACAAGCCCTGCAAGAGCCTCTGGCTAATTGCACTTGAAATGCCTAGTGAAATAGTTCAGAGCTAATTCAAACACCCTCTTGACAAGCTTGAGGACAAATGAAGACAAATGAGGACAATTCGTACATATTACATACATATAATTGATAATTGATTCAAATTAGTTTGGCGTTTCCAATCTGCTTCCATTCACAGCGGAGCTTCGTTGTCGTTAAACCCATTGTCGGATTGCCGACCTTGCGGCTTTCGTACTTCACACTTTGACCTTGGACAATGTTGGAACCTATGAAGCGTTGGATGGCATGGGGGTTTCCAATGGAGGTACCCCAAAATGGCTGGTTTATAATGGAAAATCCCATCTATAAATGGATGAGAACTGGGGGTACCCCTATTTTAGGAAACCCCCATATGTTAACCAATGATTGATTTGGTGAATAACGTAAGAATAGCGAATGATCTGAACCATCAACTAACTATAATTAGTTTGTTCTATTGAACTGTAACAATGATTGATGAATGAATACTTCCATTGCTACATGTTATTTTAGATGGAAGGGCACTAACTATAGTTAGTTTGTTCTATTAAACTGTGACAATGATTGGCAAATGAATAATTTGAGTGCTACAGTGCGCACTATATATTTTAGATGAAAGGGGTACCCATAAGACTTGCTGAAATACTTTATAGTTTTGGTACTGTTAACAAATTTTATGGAGTATTTTGAGGGTCTAGGAAAATCCTAAAGGAGACATGATTATCTGGTTGGTGGTTTCAACCCCTCTGAACAATATTAGTCAGTTGGGATGATTATTCCCAATCTATGGAAAAATAAAAAAGTGTTCCAAATTACCAACCAGTTATATATGATTGGATTTTCATTTGGATTCCCAGTTTTTGCTTATCTACCATCACCATGATATCTCCAATGTCTCAGTAGTCTAAACCCCTAAAATCATGAGCAACTAGACCTCAAACTTGGTCACTAGTCAGCCGGTCTTTCAAGTCATCCATGCCGTGGGGTGAAAAAGACATGTACCTAAATAAGCATAACATGTACACCAACAAGAATCCCTTTCAGTTCAGTTCTTTAATATTTGGAGTAATAAACACCTATTCATAATTCCCCATCTCTCAATATGTCTAGATAATTGTCTGGTTCGTGGTTTCAACCCCCTGAAAAATATGCTCGTCAAAGGGATCATCATCCCATTTTTAGTGATGGAAACAAGAAAAATATCTCAAAACACCAACCAGCTATATATCCAGCTATATCCAGCTATATTAGACTATATCATATTTGAAGCAAGGATAGGAATTCCCACAAAGGCTTGTCATATACTGCGGTAATCCTACAGATGTATGTGTGTATATATATATATTGTTTTATATTACAGTATGTATGTACATATATATATATATACATAAATATATATTATGTTATGTGTATATAGATAGATATATATATATATATATAAGAGAAGGACAATCTGCAGAAACACGAATCAATCTGTGCATACATGTATATAAATATAGATACCTATGATTGGATAATATAAGTCTATCCGTAATAATACTGTCAACCATTGGATATCCATATTAGATCATATGTATAATATTTGAATTTCTTGGATTAAATCTAACTTCAAATAGTTCAAACGAAGATCATCCCCCCAAAAAAATGGGGGGATGATCGTCACGTGCCAATGATCCTTCGCATAAAACCAGGTGACCCAGGGTCTCTTCCAGAACTTTGATCCTTCGCTTTAGAACTGCAGCCTCCTCATAGTCCTCCTCCTGCCGTGTGATCCGATGATCGTGATGTCACCTCTTGTTGGACTCTAGCGACCGGTCAATGGTTGGTACCGTAGGTACCAAGATCAATGGTGATTTATGTCAATTGAAAAATGTGTTTTGTACATTGAAATATGGTGAAATGGTGAAAATCAAATCGAAGATTTTTCAGAGATGGCGGCCGGTGCCGCACGCAGTGCGAAATCTTTTTGGGGCGCATTTATTAATAATAAGATGAGCTTGGTATCATGATGTATATTTGAGATGTTTTTGATATGGGTACCCTCTGGTAAACTAACATAGCTATTGACAATGGCCATTTATAGTGAATTTTCCCATTAAAAATGGTGATTGTCCATAGCTATGTTAAATTACCAGAGGGTAGAGTATTTGGTGACATTAAAAATATGGAGGTGACGCTACAGGTTTCCAAGCCATGGAGTTTCCCCCGACAAGTTGGAGCTGTGAAGGGAGATCCAATGCCAGCACTGGGCGATCGGTTCTTTCTGCAACTTGGAATTCTCAACTGTCTTACCCTCTGGTAAACATACAAATAACTATGGAAAGATCCACCATTTTTAATGGGAAAATCAACTATTTCTATGGCCATTTTCAATAGCTATGTTAAATTACCAGAGGGTAACCGTCTTAGCCCTTCACTTCTATGGGTCCCCTGGGTCCCAAGACACGCACAAATTACTGTAGTTCCAGAATCAATCCATTCAGAATCCAACCATTTGAGGTGGAAAATCCCCACAATTCACGATGATTTTGCGTGACCCAAACATACTCGGACCTGGACTAGATGATTTCAGGTAGAAACTTCAGCCAATCTCTCCGCATTTCACTGCATCAGCCTTAGGTCACCAAATTGCAAACAAAAACTAGCAGTATATGTTTATATATATATGAATATATGTTATATATATATATCTGTATGTATACATATATCCTGACCATGTTGTTAGAACATATTATAAAACAGTAGGCATTATACACAAGTATGTATATATATATGATATATATATATATATGTATGTACTATGTTATATACATATACATGTATATACTACAATATATATATATAGTCTTATAAAGTAATAGAGAATATATGAGAATATGTCGTATTTCTTTGAGTATCACATCCCCACATTTCATCATATTCAAGAAATATTTCTATCTTGCTGGCGCCATGTGGACTCCTCAACTGCACGAAGCTTCTCTTCTTTGAGCCGTTGGATTTCCAAGATCAGCTCCTCCCTTCCTGGGCGGGGCGACCTCGATGATTGGCCATTCTTGTGTTTAAAGATGTTCAAAAGGATTCCTTACCAACGTTAAAAGATGTTATCGATTGAGGTAAGGAAAAATATAAAAATCATTAATTATTGTTGGTCATTTGTTAATCTTTAAACAAAAAATATAAAAACAAATGACCAACGGTCAGTCGCGAAATTTAAGCAGTCTTTTGAGGCTGAAGTTCTGATCAAATCTGAACAACTAGATCTAGCAAGTGTTTAAAGAAACGGTAGAATACAAAACAACAACTAAGCGGTGGTTTCAGCTGTGCTCGGAATTTTGAATCGGTGTCCCAACTATTTTTAAACAATTTAAACAAATATTATGTAAAAACGGCCA